AAACGAATTCCTGTCCATTTCCTTAATTCTCTCTCAAATCTCCCTTTTTATATATCCTCACTACTGAATAATGTCTCACCAGGCCAACTTTAATGGTTATTTAATCAGGCTCCTTGCATCCTGTCTTAACTCTTCCAATCTATCCATCACATTGCACTTCAGATAATCTTGCTAAATGAAAGTAAATATGATCATATCACTCATTTAATTACAATTTTCAACAGACTGACGAATATCACACAACATTCAGAATTGACAGAAACTTAAGACTGAATTGTTCATGGAAGTAAGTATAAAGCAAGAGTGTTATTATTTCCCATTTTGTGCACAAAAAAACTCCTTGATAGATCATCCAGGGCTTTTCATGACCTGGTTTCTGCTCCCTGCTGCAATTTCATTACATCCTAAGCTCTAATTCTTTGACAAAAGCACCACATTTCCATGATCAAGTCTTGCTCTTTTTTTGCTTTTGTTTCTTGTCTCATTGCCTATTCTGCCTGAAAGGTCCTTCCTCACTCACCACATAGCAAGCATTTATTCATCTTTGAGGAGTTGCTTCAAGCAAGACTTCCCTCATCTATGAAGTCTTTTCCTGAATCCCAACTTCAACCTCAATTGACCTGTTTCTCCATCCTCTATGGGCTTCTTGACAATAACCACAGGACTTACTGCATGTTTTTGTTTTTTTATCCACTGTGTCTACTAGAGAAAAAAAATATCATTGTGAACAGGGCCTTACCAAGTTTCATATTCCTAGCACCTAGCACATGCTCAATGTATAGCAGGCACTTAAAAAATGTCTTCTGAATAAGTAAATGAAGAAACTGGAATATTCTTATCATAATTTACCATCTGGCTAATTCCCTTAAGATTTAATTTCACATTGGCTCTTGCAGAAAACCTTTTCTAAGCCCTCACAAATGAGCTGAGTTCCTCCTCTGCACTCCCACAGCCGTCTGTGTTGTACTAGTCACACAATATTATAATTGTTATTTATTTCTCCTCCACTACTTTGTAAACTTCTTGAGAGCAAATATCTACCATCTTTGAATCTCAAATGCTAAATGTAGTACTTACACAGTTCTAGGTATACAGTGGGTATTCAATATAGGTTTTTTGAGTAAATGAAAAGCTGTAATTGTTAGTATATCCCAGAGCCCACACATAATTCACTCAAATTATAGCTTACATTTTAGGGTTCCCAAGACAACTCCTCAAAGCCAATTTTGTATCTTTAGGTTACTCAACCCAACCTGAGAGCCTTAGGAATGGAGACAGTGATAGAGGACTACAGGTTGCAAATAGGATATTTCCTGAAAATTAGCAGGGGTGGGGAGGGGCAAAATGCAAACAGATGAGCCTCTGTAAGCAAAGCTATTAAAAATCAAGATGAAAAGAAATACCAATCACTAGTATATATAGTTGATTCTCATCTATGGATCACAGTTACATTCTGTGATTACCAGGAGAAAATCTTGAAACAAGAAGAAGAAATCAGTTTTCTATAGGCAAAGTCCTTTTAGTCAACTGTTGATGGTTTCTGATTCTATTAAGTACATACAAGACAGTACGTTCACACAGTCCAAGCATTATTAAAGAGAACAACACCATGTGCCAAGCACTGTGCTAACTACTTTACATGCACAGTCAAGTATGGTACCTAATAACTGTAATAAGGTGGACACTATTACCTCCAAGAAAGCCTTCAACCATACCTGCATCCTGGTATTCACACCTTTTTAAAGTCACCTCTTAAGTTGTTCCATAATTGTTCTGTGTTATCAGTGGGATATGACAGAAGTGATGGCATGTCACTTTGGAGATCAGGTTATAAAAGACATTATTGGCTGGGTGTGGTGGCTCACACCTGTAATCCCAGCACTTTGGAAGGCTGTGGTGGATGGATCACTTGAGGTCAGAAATTTGAGACCAGCCTGGCCAACATGGCAAAATCCCATCTCTACAAAAACATACAAAAAGTAGTCAGGCACGGTGGCTTGCATCTGTAGTCCCAGCTACTCAGGAGGCCAAAGTAGGAGAATTGCTTGAACCCAGGAGGCAGAGGTTGCAGTGAGCTGAGATCGCACCACTGCATTCCAGCTTGGGCAACAGAGCAAGACTTTTTTCAAAAGAAAAAGAAAACGACATTATGGTTTCCATCTTGATTGCTTACTTTCTCTTGAGGGATGCCTGCTACAACGTCAGGTATGGCCCTATGGATTGGTTAACATGGTGAAGAAGTGAAGCCTCTTGCTAAAGCCATGTGAGTGAGTTTGGAAAGTGGATCCTTCAACCCTACTCAAGGCTTCAGATGACCTCAGTTCAAGCCATCATCTTGACTGCCAGATCAGGAGAGATCCTAACAACCACCCAGGTAAGTCACTAATGGATTTGGGACTTTCAGAGTTGTGTGAGATAATAAATGTTTGTTGCCTTCGGCTGTTAAAAATGTGGGGTAATTTGGTACATAGCGATTATCCCCACCTGGCACACGAAGAAATTTGGGCTCAGGAACAATAAGTTACTTGACCAAAGATATACAGAGCTGGAATTCAAACCTGTTTCTGAGACTCTCAAAGCCTAAACTCTTAGCTACTCTACGATACTGCCTTATATGCATTATATCATATAACATATTACAATCTTACGTTATAACATATTACTTATTTTTTCCAATTAAATACCTACAATGTACCTAATATTAAAAATGCACTGTACTATAGGTAACCTGCTAGGACTACCAGAGATTTAAGAAAGGACTGGATAGACTATCTCCTCAGAGAGTTTATTCCATAGCATTTCAACTAAGTACCCAGTTGCTCTCAGGTACCTAGTACTTTTTAAGTACCTAGTAGTTCAAGTGATCTGTGAGAGCCACCTAGTGTTAACTCTGTTTCATTGCATTCTGCACATTTAGCTGGACATAAATGTAAAAGCCACATTTTATGCTATTTGAATCCTACAAATTTTAAAGAACGTAAAACATTTAACGCTCTCATTAGGTGTACAAAATGAGAAATAAGGCCAATCTTTACATTTATTCACATGGAAAATTGAGTCTTGAATTTCTCTCAGTTCAGAATAACATAAGGTATTCACTCAATATAAAACTAAATACTCTAACTTCAGGATTTTCCTTTTCTGACTTCTGACAAATCTGCATACCTTCAGAAGTTTCTTTTCACTTAAGAGAAGAAATGGGCATTAAAAAATGAATGAAGAAATAGGCATTTTAAAAAATCAGTAATAAGAATATAGAAGATCCTCATTTATATGCAAATTATGTATTTGATACATACTTGCTAAAATGTATTTATAACCCCAAAATCAATACTCACATCACCTTCCTGGTCATTTGTGGACATGGACAGCATGGTGAAAAACTTAAATTACCTGATATGCATTTTTCCAATTGATGCTGAACAAGGATACATTCCACTTTACTTCAACTCTCATACTGTAAACAAGTGACCTTTTCACAGTATATGTAAAGCTGTGTTTTTCACATTTTTGTGTTTTTTTTTCTTTTGGAAATTTCACTGTTTAAAATGGCCCCTTAGTGCTGAAGTACTGTCTAGTGTTTCTTTTTTTATGAGATGGAATCTCGCTGTGTCGCCCAGGCTGGAGTACAGTGGCATGATCTTGGCTCACTACAACTTCTGCTTCCCAGGTTCAAGTGATTCTCCTGCCTCAGCCTCTCAAATAGCTGAGATTACAGGCACTTGCACTATGCCTGGCTAATTTTTGTATTTTTAGTAGAGATAGGGTTTCATCATGTTGGCCAGGCTGGTCTCGAACACCTGATCTCAGGTGATCTGCCTACCTTGGCCTCCCAAAGTGCTGGGATTGCAGGCGTGAGCCATCGGGCTTGGCCTGTCTAGTGTTTCTAAGCACAAGAAGGCTCTGACATGTCTTATGGAGAAAATACATGTGTTAGACAGGCTTCCTTCAGGCACAAGTTATACTGCTGGGAATCCAAAATATATATTAAATAAGATTTCTTTAAACAGAAACACAAATAAAACCAGGTTATATATTGATCAGTTGATAAAAATGTTATGACCAGAGACTTACAGAAACCTAATCCTGTATTTACCCTAGGAGCAATGGTTCATATTTGTTAATATGTTTGTGGTGACCACAGAATATAACAATGCTTCATAGATGAGAATCAACTATATACGCTAGTGATTGGTATTCTATATTCTATCCTTATTTCCAACATATCACAACAGAAAGTTTATTTAAATTCTAAAATAGTCCTGAATGCACTGAGGGCTACTGAAATTCATATGGTAGAAGGAGTAAATGTCTACAGTATTATCTAATTTAATCTTGTCCTAAACATAAAGATCTGTTATGTCAGTTTTCATGGATTCATTATCTTTCTCTAGTATATATTTAAATGCATCTGCTGGGAGCGATGGCTCACACCTGTAATCTCAGCACTTTGGGAGGCCAAAGTGGGCAAATCTCTTGAGGTCAGGAGTTCGAGACCAGACTGGCCAATAAAGCGAAACCCCATCTCTACTAAAAATACAAAAACTAGCTGGGTATGGCAGCACATGCCTGTAATCCAAGCTATTTGGAAGGCTGAGGCAGGGGAATTGCCTGAACCCGGGAGGCAGGGGTTGCAGTAAGCCAAGATTGTGCCATTGCACTCAAGCCTGGCAACAGAGCAAGACTCCATCTCTAAATAAATAAATAAATAATAAAATAAATGCTTCAGAATTAAAAAGTTTTACATGTATGTATGTGTATTATCAAAATTATTTTACCTACCACCCAATGGTTCATGTACCAACATTGAGACATGAATCACATTTGGAAAAAGACTGCTATACATACTATTTAAAAAGTTACCACCAAACTTTTCAATTATTAAAATCCCTTTTAATAAAGAAATTTTGCAAGCCCCCATCTGAAAGTCGGTATACTTTTCTCAACTCAGTTTAGGGATACTACTATGACACATGAAGAAAGAATATTATGGTATATACCTGAAACTGTGCCAAATTGCTGAGGTAATGTTTGAGGATCACATTGTTGATCCAAAGACTCTGCATTAGTGACAGGTGGCTTCATACAGAGAGAATGTCCCATTAAGATGTTCTCTGCTGCTGCTGTTAGCTGGGGTCTCTGTCCTTCGCTAAGTTCACCCACACTCTTTTCCAAGTCCTTTAAAAAGTAGAAACAATCATTAAAACCATTATATTAAAATCAAATAAAAACAGGAAATATTTGCCAAATATCACAAACAATACCCCTTGACTCCTTGGAAAGTATTTTACAAACTGCCTACTCTGCTACATATAAGAAGTTAGTCTAATAAGCCTAGTGACAGGCTTTGTTTTCAATATAATTTCATTTATTTTATGAAATCAATCACTATTTTTCAAGCTCCAATTAAATAGCCATAAAACATATAAGAAAAATTCTATTACAATTTAAACATTAAATGAGGCCAGTATGGTGGCTCATACCTATAATCCCAGCACTTTGGGAGGCTAAGGCAGGAGGATCACTTGAGCTCAGAAGTTCAAGACCAGCCTAGGCAACATGGTGAAACCCCGTCTCTCCAAAAAATACAAAAATTAGCTGGGCATCGCAGCACACACCTGTAGGCCCAGCTACTTGGGGGGCTGAGGCAGGAGGCTAGCTTGAACCCGGGAGGCTACAGTGGCTACAGTGAGTGACTGCACCACTTTACCCCAGCTTGGGTAACATAGTGAGACCCTGTCTCAAAAACACAAAAACTCAAAACCACTAAATGCTGGTATGCATTACACATTGTTCATACAGCTTAAAATGGGAATAACAGAAAACTTCTCTCATTCTTCATGAATAAAAACTGCCTAAAGTTTGCCAGTGTAAACTTTACAATTAAACAACTGATGAGAATAATATACTTTAAACAGCATAAATATAATCAATAATTATGCTTTTATAAAAATATAGAGATTATAGAAGACTACTTTAGTCATATTTAATAATGTTCTTTTCCCTGGAAAAAAATAAAAATACAAAAAGCACAAAAATTGTTGGCCAGTCATGGTGGCTCCCACCTGCAGTCTCAGCACTTTGGGAGGCCCGGGTAGGTGGATCACCTGAGGTCAGGAGTTTGAGACCAGCCTGGTCAACATGGCAAAACCTCATCTCTACTAAAAATACAAAATTAGCTGGGCATGGTGGGGCATGCCTATAATCTCAGCTACTCGAGAGGTTGAGGCAGGAGAATCACTTGAACCTGAGAGGCGAAGGTTGCAGTAAGCCAAGATTGTGCCATTGCACTTCAGGCTGGGCAACAAAAACGAAACTCCATCTCAAAAAAAAATTTGTTTTAAATGAAATATATGAAATAAATGAACAATTGGAAAAAATGTAAGACTCTTATTTTCTTTCTATATTAAAAAATTATATATCCTAATCACTAGTACATTTTATGACTTGAGATATTCTAATTAATGAATTTACTAATTAAGAAATGAAGAAAAATTCCAATATCTGAAAGCTCCCATGTTTCTCATTCAAAAGGGTTTTAATTTTAACCAACAAGTGTTTTTTTTTACTAAAATATATGAAGAAATCACTGCTGAAACATCTTTGATGATTCCATTGACTATAAAATAAAATCCAAATTTCTTAGCTCAACATTCAAGATTCTCTTCAATTTGCCTTCATTCTCCTATGTACATCTCTATCTCCCCTTATTCCCTTAGCCTGGCTCTTCTTTCGGAATACTGATTGCCTCAATATCCTTTAAATTTAAAAATATTGTTTCATAATTAATATGAAATCCCTTAGAGACTCTTGGGTAGTGTTTAGAATGATGACAGATGAGAAATATTTCACAATGCCCATATTACTCTGCCCATCTATAGTAACTTCTCTGTTGTGAATCTGTTTTCTAGAATACTGTTTAACTTCTTAACAATACTCTAAGACCCCACCGAAAACTTATCCTGCCTATTTACAAAATGCTCTCATACTCTTAAGTATCTCTGAGTTTTGGATTATACTCAGTGCTTAAACTCATGCCAATTTAAGTCATGCTGCCTATAATATAGAGTAATATACCTAGCCAATCTACATATATGTACAAGTTACAGTTTTGCCATCAGCCAGCTCTCACTGACCTAATGCCCCTCTGAGCAAGAAGTTCTAAGCACAAAGAAAAGCCACTATTTTCTTACCAAAGCAGTATTTTAACTTATAGTATATTACTATTACTAGTTCTTATTACAAACAAACCAAATATGTAATAGCCCTTTAGATAGAAAAATACGCAAAATGTCACTGTTAATCAAACTGGCAAAAACTGAAGATTGAAATCATTATGTGTAACATGGGAAAGGGACTCATACAATTAGGGGAAATTTTTCAGTACCTAAAAACTTAAATTATGAATGCTTATATCTTTGAGCCAGCAATTCCATGCTTTAGTATCTGAATCTAGAAAAACAACTTCTCATGAGTACAAAAAAAGGATTTTATAACTAGTACAGTTTGATTAGTGAAAAATTGGAACCAATCTAAAAATCCTTCAAAAGGAGAATAAACTATGGTATACTACTGGGTAGATAAAAAGAACATAGTAGATATTCAGAATTTACGTTAAAATTTAAAAAGCTGGTTGCACAGCAATATATACACACACCTCAAAATTATATACTCAGCCAGAAATGGTGGCTCATGCCTATAATCCCAGAACTTTGGAAGACTGAGGCAGGAGGATCACTTGAGGTCAGAAGTTGGTGACCAGCCTGGGCAACATAGTGAGACCGCAACTCGACCAAAAAAAAAAAAAAAAATTAGTTAGGCATGGCATATGCCTATAGTTCCAGCTATTCTGGGGGCTGAGGTGGGAAGATCACTTGAGTCCAAGAGTTTGAGGCTGCAGTGAGCTGACTGAGCCACTGCACTCCAGCCTGGACAACAGAGTGAAACTCTGTCTCAAAAAAAATTCTCATATATATATATATATATTTACACACACACACACACGTGCGTGCATACATATACACAAATATATATATATATATATATATGCTTAAATGCTTAGAAAAAGATATGAAGAAGATAGAATTCTACCTTCTGCATTACTGTTCTAGCTAGGACAGCACAATAACAAAGGCTGACAGCTCTCAAAATCAACACTGGAGTAACTACAGAGGTGAAAAAGAACCCATATATTCTGAGAAAGTAAAAATCGTGAAAAAACACTGGGGAAACAGACAGCTAACTTAAACCGGTATGTGTGAAAAGAAAGCGGCTGCATCCTGGGAGGAGGTTCTCTGGATCTGGAGGGGCTTCATGAGGGGAATGACTGGAGAAGCTTATTTCTTTCCCTGTTGAGATCACTGCTTGCCCCTCAACCATAAAACTCTTCTTGGTAACAACCCTTGCTGTACATGCTGGTGCCCCAGAGTAGTATCTGGGAACATGACAGCCTAGCTATGGTGAAAACTATAGATGAAGTCTGCCCAGAAGCCCATCCATGGGCATTTATTCCTTTGCCCTCTTCCCCTCCAAACCCCAGGACAGGTAGATTATAAACCCACCCAAAGCAACTTATTCCTAAGGGTTTAAAGACACAATAATCACCAGGAGAGCTACATAGTGGAGTAACAGCAAACAGCAGGGACAGTGACCAAGGGTGGTTCTGTGATACCTGAGGCTCTCCTCCCTAGGCTTCTCTCCTCCCCTCTTCTTCAATTCTCTGAAACAGACCATAGGCTGGTTTTATCCTTACCCAAATTCTCAGACAGAATAGTTGATCCCATCAGTAAAATATGAACTCACAGGTCAAAAGAACCAGATACCTGAGGAGTCAATAACTTAAAAAAAAAAAAAAAAAAAAAGAACAGAAAACAAAGTGAATGATATTAATCAGACAGACACACACAGAGAGGGAGATAAGAAAAGATATTAAAATGCAAAGCAAAAAATTAAAACAAGAATGTCAAATATGAAAAATATGATAAATGGGATAAACAGTATGGTAGAGAACAAATTAGTAGTCAGCAGGTCAGATTGGGGATCTCTCCCAGAATAGAGAAGAAAAGAGATAGAAAATTTAAGGGATAAGAAAAACAGAAATAAAGTGTCAGTATCTGGAAATGAGTTGGGGGGTGGGGGGTGTGGGGGTGAAAGGAAGAAAAAAAAAAGAGAAAGAAATAACGAAGATAAAGTTCCCAGGATCTAAAAGATGAAAAGGTCTGATAAAATTGAATGAATAAATACATTGATATTAGTGATTTCCAAAAGAAAGAAAACTGGGCTTAGTCACTGGGATTTATAAATTATGTGGACACTTCTGCTATTTGCCACCTCTTTTTGTACCATTTGCTTGTCTCATTCTCTCTTCCTCCTTCCCTCTCCCGCTTTCTCTCCCTTCCACGCGCACATGCACTTTCTCTTCCCTCCCTCCCTTTTCTCTCTCAGCTTACTGGTTTCAATACTAAGCATCGTAATTTCTGCAGCTATGAGAGTACTTTTTTGAACTTAGCAACACAGACATCACAACTAATATTTTTCTGGTGAAATCAATTTTTGGTCTATAGCTAAGTAAAGTTTCAGAAAATTTAATTATTTTAATAAGGAGGAATATGTTAAGCTTTCATTTTTTTCCCATAACTAAATTCTACTTCTCCTACTTTTCCTAATCATTTCAAGTTCTAAGAATAAAAAATAAAAAAAAAACCAACCATCTCCTTGTACTCTATATAGTCTTCAGATCTCCAGCTCATCTAAAGCCAGTTTCACATTTGTTCATGCAAAGACAACCAGATACAATAGAAACAGCACTAAATATAGATCAAGAATCCTAGTCTCAGCTCCATCATTAACCAGTCTGAATGACAATGCTGTACATTTCCACCTGGAATTTCCTTAAGCACCTTAAATTTAATGTGCATATAGAACTCATTACTTTCCCCATAATATCTGGCACTCTTTCTGCACTTCTGAGCCAACAACTATACAATCGCCCACCCAGGCTCTGAAGGTAGGAACCTCAAGATTATCCTTTAAAAAATGCTTCTTGACCTCTCTTAAACAATGACTAATTACTGTCAATCCTATGCCCTTAAACTGAAATCTCATGACTCTCTATTTCTGCTATAACTGTCTTTGTTCATGTTCTCATTCGCTCTTGCTGGGACTACTCCAGTAGTAGTAGTTCCCCCATGTCTCCCTCACTTGTTTATGGCTTCATACTTCTTCCTAAGGCAACTCCCTTGTCCAAAAACCTTCATGGGCTCCACAGTGTCCAAGCCTTATCGTGGCCTAAATAAAATGTTCTTTATGATCATCTGGTTCAATCGACTTCTCCAGACTTATCTGATTCTTTATCTAAAATTCTAGCCACACTGAGATTTTCAATACTTAATATGCTTTAATATTTCTTGCCTCTCATCCCTAACAAATGCTATTTCTGCTTCTGAAATGTCCTTCCCTTTTGTTGCTGCCTGCAAAGTCCTCCTCCATCTTTAAAGACTGACATCAATATAATATTGTGTATGAAGTGTCATCTGACTTCAAGCAGAGTCTTTTCTCCTGTGTGTTCATACAGTACTTGTAAATACAGCTATTTGATCAGTTATTGCACTGTTGAATAATTACTTGTGTAAGCCTTTATCTTCCTGCATGACTGTAAGCCGTTTAAAGGTAGGGGTCACGTCTTATTTATCTTGGTATCTTTTCCTAGGTTGTATCCAGCATTTATAATGGATACTAAATAAATGGGGGAATAATAAATGAATAATCCTCACAAAGTTTCAACTTTTTCAACCGTAGAACAAGATGGTTGAAATAGTCTAAATTCCTTTCAGTTATAAAACTCTACAGTCCCAATACTCCAAGTTAAAGTTGCTACAGCACTGACCCCTGAATAAAATACTAGCATGCTTTAACTAATAGTAAGAATATTTTAATTTTTCCTGTATTTATATCTAACCAAAACAAAAGTCATTAAGGTTAAAAAGTACCTCTGAATGATAGACTGCTTGCTGTAAAACTGCTGACTCCTGGTTTTGTTTAGCAAGAAGAGAAAGAATTGCATCTGCATGAAATTTTTTATGGGGCATCCTAATCACTTGCCCTTCACTAGGAGGATCATCCTCCTAAAAAAAAAGCCATAAAGAAAATTAATAAAAATAAATTTTTTGAACAATTGGATTTTTCTCAATTTATAATTAATAAAAACTTAGCAGTCATGAAATATTAGCATTTTTTGATATAAGCATTTTTAAAAGAAGATGAACTCTTTATTTTCAAGTTCTCATTTTCTTTTGTCTATAATAAAAGGCCTCTACATTTGCCTCAAATATAAACCACAGTATAACATGTAAACTGGAGATATGTTATAAAAACATAAAAATCAAACTGTCTGTCCCATGCAGTTGAGCTACCATGAGTCATAAATGTTTTGTATGATATCATTGTTTTTGGGTCACACAGCTTCCTCTTCATATTTCTGCAGTAAAGCAATGCCAAAGTGTGGAAATGGGGGCAAAGCATTGAAATGCTGCAACTTGGACCACAAGCAAAAATGAAAAACTGAAGAAATATGGTATAGCAGCTATAGACCTCAATATCCCTTGCCTTTGGGCTGACATCTGGCTTACTTGGCGAGGGCATCAGTACTGAAGGCCCTCACTGGAGCACCCTGTATAGGCTTTTTCATGACTCCAAATAGACCCATCCTAACAATGAGGAAAAGTGTGGGCCTCAGAGTCCAACAAAGTGGATTCTCATGTCAATACAAGTATTAACATGATTCCAAATTTGTTAAAAGCATTTGTATTTATTTTATTTTTCATGAAATAAAGTTTATCAATTCCAGATTAGAAGTCCCTATGCTCTAGCTATGTATAGATAAATACCAACTGGTACACAACTTCAAGTTATTTGGGGTTTTTCCAGATTGCTTTTGCATTTGACTTTATCATGAATTTGTAGCATATGTGATTTAGGCATAGTAAAAAGATCAAAATTAGAATTTAGTTTCAAACATAGAAAAAGAGAAATGAATTATAATTTAGACTTAGTTCAGTTTAGCTATTTACTTGAAAGAAATTTAAACATGCTTTGGCACTTTGAAAAGCTCAAAGAAAGGAGAAAAATGCTCTAATAGTATATTAAAAAGACCAAATGTTAGTAATGCTTCTCTGAAAATAAAGGTATCTCATTTATGCCTCCTTCCCGTATTATTTCATTAAAAAGTGATTGCTGTGCTCTCGTCACAATTAGCTCAACCAGTTACCTGCAGTTAACAACTACTGTTTAAAAATTGTTTTTTTAAAATCTTATCAAAAAAACTTCTTAATGAAGTCTTTTCATAGGCCTATGTGAAATAAAAAATAGCAACAATGCTTTAAAAAGATGAATAAATACAGATAATAGTTTAGTACAATTATCTTTCTTTGCTTAGATTGTTTAAAAATATATAAAAAATAAAGATTTCTATTCCTTAATAGGTTTTTCAAAAGAAAATTCCCACTATCATTTCTATATATTTATATATAATATGATATTTTTAAATGCTAACTTTTTCTTCCACAGAGCTAGATTAAAAACTAGAAAGGGTTAGCATCCCTGGACCTCATTTTTCTTTTTAAGTCATTAAGTGTAAATATTTATTAGCACAAAGAATTATAATCATGGTTAGGGAAAAATAACAAATGTTTTATAAGAGTTGGTTTAAATAGGTAAGATCTTGCTTAAATATTTTAAAGACAACATATAGAGGTAGCAATTTGCAATCAGCTAGATTTCATTACCTAATCACATTAAATGTATATTTTTCTACTATTAGAGCCACAAGGGTAAATAATAACTTTTTTCATTCTCATAATTATAAGATTATATAATGAAATGTGCAAGAAACCCTAAATTATTTCATGGTTATTTTACTAAATTTTGCGTCTATAACTCAAAAAATTGAGAAAAAAAACCTGACTATTGGCAACAAATTCATAAAGATATTCTTCCTGTCAGAATTCAGTGTTGGAGTCAATCATTCCTTACCATTTCAGCGGCATCATGCAGAGTGCTGGATAAGCTATCATTAAGGTTTGTCAGATACAGTCCTACATCTTCTAAAACTAGAAATTAAAATATAAAAATTTAGAAAAAAAAGAAACACAAATTTAGCAAATAATCTATCCATAAAGCCATAGAATATTAGATTTAAAATTATACTGCAATGGAAATATTGGCAAAGTTTATAAACAAGTAATTCACAAACTACTCAATCCTACCAGTTTTTTTAAAAAGTACAATTTATAACAAAGATGAGATTTTTGTTTAACCTAACAGTTTGTTAGAAATTAAGAACTATAAATATCAATTGTAGTTATGAAACTGAGAAACGGGTACTCTCATATACTGTTGATATAATTAAAACTGATTAAAATTAAGAGCTAAAATCCTTTCTTGAACTTAAAGCAAAGAAAAAAAAATCCTTTCTAGAGAGCATGTTGGCGATGTATCTTTAAAGTAGACTCAGCAATTTCACTTCTAGGCATATATTCTAAGGAAGCTACCAGATAAGTACACCAAGATATATATACATGAAAGGATGGTAATTAGAGAGTTGTGTCTAGACTGAAAGCACTGAAAACAATTTAAATGCCCTCTATTAAGGCATTAAATAGACTACACAGCCATAAAAAAAAAAAAGTAGATTTATATGGAGTCATATTAAAATATATCCACAATATATTATTAGGTTAAAAAAAATTCATGTTTCAGGCTGGGTGCAGTGGCTCACGCCTATACTGTCAGCCCTTTCGGAGGCCAAGGCGGGTGGATCACTTGAGCTCAGGAGTCTGAGACCAGCCTGGACAAAATGGTGAAATCTCGTCCCTACAAAAAAATATAAAAGTTAGCTGGGGCTGGTGGTGCGTGCCTGTAGTCCCAGTAACTCAAAAGGCTGAGGTGGGAGGATCACTTGAGCCCAGGTAGTTGAGGCTGCAATGAACCACAATCATACCACTGCACTCCAGCCTGGATGACACAGTGAGATCCTATCCCAAAAAAAATCAGGTGTCAAAACAATATGCATAGTAGAATCCTATTTTTAAAGGTAAACATACATCCACATACATATGTATTTATGTGTCTATATACATGTAGACAAAAAAGACTGGAAAGGTCTACCCCAAACCATTAAGAGTGATATTATTTCTGGAGGGTGAGATTATAGGGAAGATGTGACTTTCTGAAGTTAAGATCCAGAAAACTTAACTAAATTGCACTGGGCCCCCTATTCTTTCTACAATACCATGTTAAATCTTGAAAATTAAAACACTTTAAACAGAAAAGGATTACTTAAGGAATTACCATAATCTAACAAATGAAATCAATTAACACAAATTAACTTACTCTTGGGGGCCAATTTTTGACCACAGCTAAATAAAATCTCTCCTTCAGAGATGGGTTTATCTAAAGTTTCAGTTTCAGTGACTGTAACACTCAATATGCTCTCCAGCGTTGATGAATCAGAACCTGGCATCTGTGAGGGGGAAGGGGCCTTGGTGGCAGCAGGAAATGGCATAAAGGGAACTGGCTCTGGAGGTAGAGGCTGAGCAGGGAAATCCATACTCTCTGGTTCTTCATCCTTAGCCACAGACATTACACTAAGAAAATAAAGACATATTTTGAGCTCGTTAGGTCACTACTCACTTTGACATAAAAAACAGACTGGAAGACTATATCTCCTCTAGCAAAATATTTTTTTGAATCTGCACTACTATAATTAACAAGATTTTTAATAATTGTTTTCATGCTTTAATCATAGGCCACCTTGAAAGGTCTTCCAGACATCAAATAAATCTACATAGAGATATATAATATAAAAGTTAACTGATGATAGTAAATAATGATCCACAATAGGGAGAAATTGCTTTCTATTTTATTAACAATATAACAGATACCTTTAATTAAATCTGCTTCAAACCTTTTAAGAAAAAAGGTGAAGGCATAAATAAATTTGATAATTTTTAAAAATTCAACATTTATGAAAGTTCTTTCTTTGAGAGTATAAAGTAGTCTGTGGTTTATAAAGCTTTGTGTAATATTGCTATGTTTTCAGTGGATCACATAAGTCAAACAAGTTGAAATGTACAGTTACTAGTTATGTTCTCATTTACATAGCTCTCGGATGAAGTTCTTCTTGAGGAGAGTTAGGGTTTTCTTCTTCCAGTGGCAGGTCTCCATCACCCCACGGCTTGGGAAGCTCTGGGCTTGATACCTTCAATTTATCAATGGAAATCTCCGACCAAGTTGGAGTAAAAACTGCTGCTGGAGGAGGTGTAGTAGTGGGGGTAACCACTGGAGTATTAACAAGCATGATGGCAGGCATATCATCTCCTAAAGATTTTTTTAAAAAAAGATAGTAGTCAGAAAACAACTCCTTAGGATGGCAAGATACATTGCTTCAGATATTCCTTACCATTTTAGCATACAAATAATGGCAATTATAATTAATAATAATAATAATAATAATGAGAGTGGTGGTGGCCATTAATGGAAAAATTCCTAAGTTTAGTAAAGCATTAAAAAAAAAAAACCTTGAAAACATATCATTTTTAATACCACCATATACTTAGTCTAAGCATCTATTCAATTACATACTTTAAGAAGTAGCACCAGGCATGGTGGCTCATGCTTGTAATCCTAGCACTTTGGGAGGCCGAGGTGGGTGGATCACCTGAGGTCAGGAGTTCAAGAACAGCCTGGCTATCATGGTGAAACCCAATCTTAAAAAAAAAGAAGTAGCAATCAATTCCTAAATTTCCTTGCAAGAAGTAAGCAACAAGTATGTATACATTAATATAAAGCATCTTATAAGATAAATCATAAAATTTTACTTAATAGTTGCTAAAATTAAAACTGACTAACAGAAATAAAGTTTCTACCTTTTTCAGCTAATACTTTTTTCACAGGAAAAGCCATATCATGATCCGAATCACAGGGAGAAGAATCTGGAGTCTTTACCAAAACACACTCCTTAGGAGATGATGAAGGTGAGGGAGGAGGCGTAGGCTGTGGGGTAGCCAATGGGGTACGCATTCTTGCCTAAAATAAATTAATAAAACAAGATAAACTGTGTTTTTATCACCCAAATAAAAGTAATTTGAAATAATAATATGAACTCATTCATAGACTAGAGATAATTTAAATTGATAGCAGGGTTAAGTACCCTATCTCTTGAACGTCTACCTGCTAGTCTACGACTGGCCTGCTGAAAGTCTCAGGCAATTGAAATAACTCTGCCTCTGAAGTGGTCCCCACAGAATTCTAAGGCACCCTCTTTTAAAATAGAGAAGTAATTTACATTCCTACCAACAGTGTATAAGCATTCCCTTTTCTCTGCAGCCTCACTAGCAACTGTTGGTTTGTATTTTGTTGTTGATTTTTTTTAATTTTTAATTTTTGTGGGTACATAGTAAGTATATATACATATATTTATGGCAATCTGTTTTATTTTTTGACCTTTTAATAATAGCCATTCTGACTGAGATGGTATCTCACTGTGGTTTTAATTTGCATTTTTCTGATGATTAGTGATGATGAGCATTTTTTCATGTTTGTTGATGGTTTGTGTGTCTTCTTTTGAGACCATTACTGGGTATATACTCCAAAGATCATTATACCAAAAAGACACATGCACTTATATGTTCATTGCCACACTATTCACAACAACAAAGACATGGAGTCAACCTAGGCACCCATCAGTGGTGAACTGAATAAAGAAAATGTAGTACATATTCACCATGGAATACTACACAGCCATAAAAAAGAACAAAATCATGTCATTTGCAGCAGCATGGATGAAGCTGGAGGCCATAATCCTAAACAAACAAACAGAGGAATAAATGTTCTCACTTATAAGTGAGAGCAAAACATATGTTCTCACTTGTAAGTGAGAGCTAAACATTGGGCACACACAGACATAAACATGAGAACAATAGACACTGTAGACTATGATGGCAGAGAGTGGAAGGGAAGAAGTAGGAAATGGGTTGAAAAACTACTTTTGGATACTATGCTCACTACCTGGGTCCCATTTATACACATACCAATCCTACACATGTATCCCTTATACCTAAAATAAAAGCTAAAATTTTAAAAATAAAGAAGACAGAAAGATTAAATAGACAAAGCTGAAGATCAAATCCAATTACAAACATGAAGGAAAGGCATAAAACAGAAAGGAAGCATTTTAACTGATTGATAAGACACCAAAAAAAAATCAGTCTTTTTGCACAAAAAACAAAGTATATAAAAGTAATGGAAGGATAAGAAAAAGTGGGAGTTGGGGAGAGATGAAGACAGCAGGGAGACAGAAAGTACTGGAGAAGGAAAAGTGGAACAATTTAATATTAATTTGTTGAATAGGTAATCATTCAAATGGTTCAAAATTGAAAAGGTACAAAAGGATAGTGAAAATTAAGTCCCTCTCCTACTCTTAACCTTTCTACCTAGAGCCCTTCCTCAAAGTTATCAAATAATCTTGACTGCCATCATTTTATATGTATAATATATGGATATAGCTATGAGTAAGTTCCCAAAAGTGGGACTACTCTATTAAAGGACAAATTATGTTTTTAGTTTTAATAGATACTGCCAAATTTCCTGGTACAGGATTTTACTATTTTATACTACCACCAGAAAGTAAGAAAATGACAATTTTCCCCAGATTTATCAGGCTTTTAGAGTTTTGCCAATCTGATCAGTAAAAATGGAATTTCAATAACTTTTTCTAATTATCTGTGAGGTTGATCATCTTCATTTTTTTTTATATGTACATGGGTGATTTGTATTTCTTCTATGTGTTTGACCTGTCTGCTCCTGTCCTTTGACCATTTAAAAAATATTACTTAACTTTTTCTTCATTCTAAAGTCTTTATATAAGGTGATTACCCTTTATTCTGTATGAGTTGCAAATTAAAATGCAATTTAAAACCATGAAACATATCAGAATTTCTATAGCACTGCTTAATAATTAGTGTACTCAGCCTTCATTTTAAAATGAAGAAAGTAAACTACGCCTTTTTTTCTTCTTGACTACATAAACATATAGCACAAAAAATGTTGTTTTCAGATATAACACTATTGTCTCATCACTGTGAAAGGATCTGAAGGTATTTTTCTAGTATTGGTAATGGATAATAAAGATGATAAACTATTAGTAACTGAGTATTTATTTACCAAGTTCTAGGCACCAGATTAAGCTCTGTCCATACATCATCTCATTTAATCTTCGGCAAAACTTTGGCTAAGAAAACACAGAACCATAAATATTTCAATCCTTCTTAAATGAAACCGGTCAAAATTGGTTTAATTCCCATTGAAATCTCAACAATATTTTTAATGGAACTTAAGAACTAACCTTAAATTATATGTGAAAGATTAAAAGGCCAAGAAAAGCCATGACAATTCTGAAGATAAAGAATGATAAGTCGCAGTCTGGGAGTAGTGCTTGCCTTACTAGATATTCTGTAAGAAGATTTTAGTAAAGCCATCATCGTTTAAACTAAGTATTCTATCTCTATTATAGAGGTAAAACTAAAGCAATGGAACTTGGAATTCAAATTCAGATTTTACCAACCCCAAAGTCCAAGCTCTTTACACTGGTTTTCCCCACATTTTCTCATCCAATCACCCTCATGAAAGTATATGCAATATATAGGCAGAAAGCAAACCAAAGTAATTGGCCTGGAAAAAACCATAACCCTGACCACATCTGTACTACATACCTTCCCAATGAGCTAATAAAGCACAGATCAAACTACAGATCAATTATGTGGCACACGAATCGCATTATACCACACCAATGTCTACAAAAGTAAAACACAGTATGTAACTTCATGTTTATACGTCGAATGATGTTTAAATGTTTCATGTATATAAAATGATGTATTTGTGGTCTGTAAGATCAGAAGTAACTATAGTTTTAAACAGCTGGTAATAGACAGTAAATTTTGGCTTTGCATAATTTTGTATTGCTATAATAGATTACAAATTCTTTTTAACACAAGATTGATTAAACAAACAATGTAAGTTCCTGAAATGTATTTTTTTAAAGATTAAAAATATCAGTTCGTATAATAACCCAAAGCAATGTGTGATTCTTAGCTATATCTTGATTAAAAAAAAAAAAAACTATAGAGGACATTTTTGGAATAATTGGGGAAATCTAAATATGGGCTCTATATTCTATATTATTAACATGTCAAGGTTAAATTTGGGGGGTCTGATGATGGTATTTTGGTTATGTAATAAAGCAACTTGTTCTGTGGAGATACTGCTGATGCTTTTGAGGTAAAGCATCATGATGTCTATGACTTTCAAATGGTTTTTAAAGAATATATGATATATAGCAGATATAAGACAGATTTTTTCAGTGTGCCAAAATATTATCAATCAATAAATATAAATGAGCCTTGATTAAATAACTAAATAAAAACATAGGTTTGAACTATAAGAGTCCAGTCATACCAGGATGTTTTTTCAACCAAATGTGGATCAAAATCAGTATTCATGATATAAGAAACCCTTATATACAGAGGGCTGACTTTTCATATATTTGGGTTTTTCGGGCCAACTGTAAGACCTGCGTATGCAAGGATTTGCCAATTCCCCATGTATACCAATGGACAACTGTATAAGTAAAGGGTGTACTGATGTTCATTGTATCATACTTTCAACTATTCTATAGATTTAAGAGTTTTTAGAATAAAATGCTAATGGGAAATGGTATGGAAAATATTACTTTAATCATAGCCACAAGGAATAAAATTCTACCACAAGCTGGGCATGGTGGCCGGTGCCTGTAATCTCAGCTACTCAGGAGGCTGAGGCAGGCGATCACTTAAGCCCAGAAGTTCAAAAACACAAGACCAGCCAAGGCCATAAATAAAGACCATGTCTCTAAAAATAATAATAATAATACTTCTACTACAAACAATGATCTTACAGTATGCAGCTTAAAATTCATCTATTTTACTGTTCTTCAAAAAATCTATCAAAAATTCCTCATACCGGCAAATACGTTTCATTTGTTGAAGCACCCCCAGAAACACTTGCAGCAACAGGACCTTGCTTCTTTGGTTCTCTGTCACCCAGCATAACAGCAATGGTCTCAGCAAGAGCTTCGTTCACAAAATGGTTAATCATGTCTGAGTTCACAGGAACACCAGCATCAACAAAAAGCTGGAGGGCACCGCTGCTTGTTCCTTCCACTAAAGGAAAAAAAAAAATTCAGAATAAGTGGGCAAGAAACATGCTTGCAATTCAAACTTTCATTTCTTTTTTTCTTGAAACAGAGTCTCACACTGTTACCCAGGCTGGAGTGCAACAACACAGTCTTGGCTCACTGCAACCACTGCCTCCTAGGTTCAAGTGATTCTCCTGCCTCAGCCTCCAAAATAGCTGGGATTACAGGTGTGTGCCACGACGCCTCGGTGAGGTTTAGGAATTGACTGCCAAATGGCATAAGGAAGCTTTTGGAGAAGATAGAAATGTTTTCCTATCTCCTGATTATGTGGTTAATGTATAGCTGTGTGTACTTGTCAAAGCTCATCAAACTGGGCCAGGTGCAGTGACTCGCTTCTGTAATCCCAGTGCTTTGGGAGGCCAAGGCAGGAGGATCACTAGAGGCCAGGAGTTTGATATTAGCCTGAGAAACAGCAAGATCCCCATCTCTACTTTATCTATCTATCTATCTGTCTGTCTGTCTGTCTGTCTGTCTGTCTGTCTGTCCGTCCGTCCGTCCGTCCGTCCGTCCATCCGTCCATCCGACAGTCTCGCTCTATCGCCCAGGCTGGAGTGCAGTGATGTGATCTTGGCTCACTGCAACCTCCACCTTCTGGGTTCAAGCAATTCTCCTGTCTCAGATTCTGGAGTAGCTGGAATTACAGCTGTGCACCATCATACCCAGCTAATTTTTATATTTTTAGTAAAGACAGGGTTTCACCAGGTTGGCCAGGCTGATCTTGAAATCCTGACCTCAGGTGATCTGCCCGCCTCAGCCTCCCAAAGTGTTGGGATTATAGGCCTGAGCAATTGCACCTGACTTAAGAATTATTTTTAGCTGGGCTACATAGGTGTGTAGCTAGGACCACACACCTATGGTCCTAACTACTTGGGAGGCTGAGGCAGGAAGGTTGCTTGAGCCCAGGAGTTCGAGGTTACAGCGAGCGAGTTATGATCATTTCACTGCAGTCCAGCCTCTAGCATAGATGACAGAGCAAGACTCTGGTTCTAATTAAAACAAACAAACAAAAAACTTGTCAAACTGTACACTTAGAAGTGGTAACTTCTATGGCAAGTAAACTTACCTCAAAAAAACAAGAAGGAGGTAGAAAGGAAGAAGAACAGGAGGAGGAAGAGAAGAAAACAAATGGAGAAAAGAAGGGGGAGAAGAAGAGGAAAAGGGGGAAGGAGAGAAAGAAGAAAAAAATGGGGAAGAGAAGGGAGAGAAGAGGGAAGGAGGGAAGGAAAAAAAGAATGGCACAGGCTCTATAAAGAGGCACATTTTAACCATTTAGGCCAGGCTCAGTGGCTCATGCCTGTAATCCCAGCACTTTGGGAAGGCTGAGGTGGACGGATCACGCAGTCAAGAGATAGAGACCATCCTGGCCAAGATGGCGAAACCATGTCTCTACTAAAAATACAAAAAATTAGCTGGGTGCAGTGATGAGTGCCTGTAGTCCCAGCTACTAGAGAGGCTAAGGCAGGAGAATCACTTGAACCTGAGAGGTGGAGGTTGCAGTGAGCTGAGATGGTGCCACTGCACTCCAACCTGTGCAACAGAGCATGACTCCATCTCAAAAACAAAAAGGCTTGTTTTAACCATTCAATGAATATGTAAACTCTTGTTAGGTATCAGCCAAGGTCTAGGCACAAAAGGAGAAACATCCTTAAATCCTGATTTATAGTCTAGAGTGAGACAGATATGGAAACTAACCTTGATATAATCTGATAATTACTATAACAAAAATATGTACAAAGTACTATGAGGATAACAGATTTGGAGTGGGAGGTATGAAGAGTGGCTTAATCATCTGAAAGCTGCAACATGAAATAAGAGGGTGAGAGATAACTAACCATCATCACAAAGAAGTACTACGAAGTTAGCTTAGAAGAGCTTACCTTTTGTTGCTGGAGGATTTACTTGACCTCTCAAATGTATAAATCCACAGTGAACTAAGGCTTTTGTCTTTTAATAAAAACAAAGAAGATCCATTTCACTCACCAATGTCAGAAGTCAGTGGTTCACTTGTCTCACTGACTGACACACTGATATTAGGGGCAATCTGTTGCTGGACTGGAAAGAGCCCAGAGATAATTCTTGACATTATTTCTTGCTCTACCCTGAGCGGGGGAGGGGCAGATAAAAGTTAAGATTCCTCAATTTAATTGAAATGTTAAAAATGTTAGACATACCACCCTTAAAAATAACCTTTACCAATGCCACAAACATGTTTGTGTGAAAGCAATCATTCTGAAAGTTAAATCTAGAAGAAAAATAATAATAAAATGGGCTGGGCATCATGGTGCACACCTGTAATCTCAGCAATTTGGGAGGCCATGTTGGGCAGACCGCTTGAGCTCTGGAGTTCAAGATCATCCTGGGAAACAGGGCAAAACACTGTCGCTACAAAAAATTAGCTGGGCATGGTGGTATGTGCCTGTAGTCCCAGCTACACAGAAGGCTGAGGTGTGAGGACGGCTTGAGCACAGGGGGTCAAGGCTGCAGTGAGCCATGATCACCCCACTGCACTGCAGCCTGGGCAACAGAGTGAGACCCTGTCTTGGAAAAAAAAAGTACCTCTGAAGAAGATAAAACACACTAAACAGAATCTCCTTGTGGGAGATAGTTCATGAAATCAAATTTAAATCTTTCAGATTAGTCTAATGAAAAGCTTAACAAAACTTCTAAATTCAAAATAAGACTTGGGTCAATGACATCATGTACCTAAACTGATTTCCACTCTGAGTGCACATATAAAAACCATACAAGGTCAGAGCTAGAAAAGAAGTCCAGCTGCCCTCTCTCCAAGGAAATAAACATATAGGCTGTAATACAGACTGTACTATATTACAGCCTATATGTTTATTTTATATTACAGCCTATATGTCTATTTTAGTACTTATCAGAGCTAGAAAAGAAGTCCAGCTGCCCTCTCTCCTCAAGGAAATAAACATATAGACTGCAATATAGTACAGCTTACATGTTTATTTTAATTTTCCTCTTAAAATGTAAAGAAAAATGTATCTCTAAGGTCATCTTTGGGAAGGGAAAGGGTAACAGGAGACTTCTAGAACATTTCTTTAGAGCAGCTAATAGACTTCTTAAACATTTTTATTATATAAATAATAGGTGTTCGTTGTTAAAAATTTAGAAAATTTATGAGTTTAAAAAACTGATAAGGCTGGCCTATAATTCTAGGTTCAAGGATAAACACAGTTAATTTGGTATATATGTTTTTTCAAACTTTTGTTTTATGCAAACATTTTTTTGTGAGACAGAGTCTCACTCTTTAGCCCAGTCTAGAGTGCAGTGACCCAACCTTGGCTCGGTGCAACCTCTACCTCCTGGGTTCAATCGATTCTCTTGACTTCGTCTCCTGTGTAGCTGGAACTACAGGTGCATGCCACCACACCTGGCTAATTTTTTTTTTTTAGTAGAGATGGGGATTCACCATATTGGTCAGCCTGGTCTCAAACTCCTGACCTCAGGTGATCCACCCGCCTTGGTCTCCCAAAGTGCTGGGATTACAGATGTGAGCCAATGTGCCGGGCTGCACACTTATTTTTGAGTAAGATCTTGTAAACTAGGGTTACACTGTTAGTATCCTGCTTCGTTTACATGCTAGTATATTATCAATATCTTTTAACATTACTAAATTTCTTCTAAACCTAATTTTCATGATTGTATTAATATTCAGTCATTTCACTTATTCCATAACTTCCTTAGGGTTTCTTATAAGTAAAAATACAAATAATAGAGTTCATTTCATATTCATGTGTAATAACAAGTTACAATTGTTATTGTAATATGTAACAATGATAACATATTACAACTTGTTGTTATAAGTATGTAACAAACCTAGAACAGTGCCTTCTTTGTAGTGGCAGGTATTATATGGCCTAGTATAGCAGTCAACCTTTATCCCCAATCTTTTGGCACCAGGGATTGGTTTTGTTGAAGATAATTTTTCCACAGATGGGGAGGTAGGGGGGTTGGATTTGGGATGAAACTGTTTTACTTCAGATCATCAGGCATTAGATACTCATAGGGAGCGTGCAACCTAGATCCCTCACATACACAGTTCACAATAGGGTTTGTGCTTCTGTGAAATCTAATGCCACCACTGATCTGACAGGAGGTGGAGCTCAGGCAGTAATGCTCACTTACCAGCTGCTCAGCTCCTGCTGTGCAGCCTAGTTCCCTGGTTCCTAATAGGCCACAGACCAGTACTGGTTCGTGGCCCTGGGGTTGGGGATCCCTGGCCTAGTAGCAAACCATAATTACTTCCTTAGGATAAATTTCTGGAAATGAATCACTGGATTAAAGAACATGTACATTTTTAAGGCTTCCTAATAATAGTCTTCTTTGCCAAAATAGACAAACTGAGTACAAATATTCCAGGACAAAAATAATACCTCCAACAATAGTTAAGCCCTCGGCATTACATCAAACACTTTCCAGTGACTAAAGCAAAGAAAGTTTAATAAACAAAAGAAGACAAGAAATATTTTCAGCCACAATTTAATATTTCCCATTTATATTTGCTACTATAGTTCTATTCATACCAACACCGTTGTAAACTTACCATTGAATTAAGCTATTTTCCAATGTCTCTTTTCTCTCAATTACTTTATCCAGAATATCAGCCGTGGGCTGAAAAGTAGAAGCAACTGGCGGAAATGGAGGACCATTATATTTTGTAGAATCAGGTTTAATGCTTCTGTTAAACTCCAGAATTGGTTCAGAGTCTGGAATTTCATCACATTTTTCTTCTTCCTGGTAGTAATAAAAACAAAACTATTCTTATATTTGTTCAAGAGTTACTAAGTACCAATTATAGGCAAGGAACTGGATGAAATAACCAACACTTCTAAATTAACCAACAGCATTTTTAATTAGGTGGTATCACATTAATTACAACATACATGTTAGTCATACATATCATATTGAAGAATCCTTAATTACATAATCAGTTTGTCTTTTTAGAACCCAATAGTCATTGAATGCAATCATAAAATAAACTAGAAAACGTAATTATTCCTAGATAAAACACTATTAACATTTCTCTCTAGAAGTGTATGAACTGAATAATTATCATTAAAAAATTGATGCATCCTCATATGGTTTGCATATTTGTCCCCTCCAAATCTCATGTTGAAATGTGATCCCCAGTGTCCAAGACGGGGCCTGGTGGACGGTGCTTGGGTCATGGGGGTGGATCCCTCATGAATGGCTTGGTGCCCTCCCCATAGCAATAAGTTAGTTCACGTAGAGCTGGTTGTTTAAAGGACACTGGCACATCCTCCTCTCTCTCCTACTCCCTCTCTTGCTTTGTGACACACCCGTTCCCTCACAGCCTTCTACCTGAGTAAAAGTTTCCATGAGACAATTACATCTCTTTTCTTTTCTTTTCTTTCTTTGTTTTTCAGACAGAGTTTCTGTCTTTTGACCCAGGCTGGAGTGCAATGGCATGATCTTGGCTCACGACAACCTCCACCTCCTGGGTTCAAGCAATTCTCCTGTCTCAGCCCCCTGAGTAGCTGGGATTATAAGTACCCGCCACCACATCCAGCTAATTTTTGTATTTTTTAGTAGAGACAGGGTTTCACTATGTTGGCCAGGCTGGTCCTAAACTCCTGACCTCAGGTAATCCACCTGCCTTGGCCTCCCAAAGTCCTGGGATTACAGGCATGAGCCACCTCGCCTTAAATCTCTTGTCTTTATAAATTACCCAGTAATTCCTTTATAATAATGCAAAAAAGACTAATACACTTCTAAAATCACTTTTTGCTCTTATACAACTTATAATTTACATTTAAATATGCAATTAGGTCAGTCATCTGACAAATTATCTGCATACCACATCATAATCAATAAAGTTATTTCTGGAATTGTCAAATTTTTTATTACAAAAAATATCATATGTGTTTAAACAAATAGCATCTATGTAATATATCTGTTATATAAATAACATGAATTGCATTTATCTGCTCCCCAACTTTAACAATTATCAACTCATGGTCAGTCTTGTCACATCTAGCCACTCTCCCCTTCACATATCGTTTTAAAGTAAAACACAGAAATCATATCATTTTATCTATAAATAATTCAATCAAAACCACTTTGGTATCTCTAAATACTATAACTCAGTAATATTATCTGATTGAAAAATGAAGTCTACAGTTAATAAATGGCAAAGCTACTACAGGAACACTTGTCTTTGAATGCTAAATCCTTTGCTACTGCTATAACTGTTTCCTTCACTTGTATATTAGATAAACAATTACCAAGTACCTTTGCTAGGCATTAGGAATATATAACTAAGGTCCCTGCCTTCAAAATTCTCATGTGGCACTCACATGAGAAAAGACATACCTGTGAGCAAATAACATTAATATACTGTACACCTCTTCATATTCTAAAACTGGAGTTCATTTTATGACTGGTCTTAGCTCTAAAAGTCAAAGAAACATGAACAAATGTCTTCTTTAAAGTCTACTGACATAATATTTAAGTAGTTTCAATGTTCTATGATTTTGCCTCCCATCCTTTATAATTTAATTCTGCCTATTTTTCCCCTCTATTTCATTATTTCTATCATTTCTATAACTCTTTGTTCTATATGGATCTTCCTCTGGATTATAGATTCCACACAAATTTTTTTTCTCAATATAAATTAATTGGTCACCTCATCATGAATCCAAAAATTACAATAGATAAATGTAATAGAATGAAGAAAAGACAAATTGAAAGAAAAGAAGCCAAAGGAAGTGGGAAGAAAGAAGGAAGCAGGAAACAGCAGAGACAAAATCTAGGTGGGAAACAGCAGACAACCAAAAAGTTTCATGAAGGCAGATAGGTGATATAGATGAAAGACAATACTGCGTTCTAGAATAACAACTTCATAATTTTTAAAATAAAAGTATATTTAACTCAAAAGTAAAAGAAAGTATCTAAAAGCACTGCAACAAAATATTAATAGTCAAAAGATAGTCAACAACCTGGAAAAATGCCGGTAGAAAGTAATTTCTCATGATTTCTAAGCTTTGTTACCTGTATGACATCAATTATTTCATCAAAGTTATTTCCTGGAAACTTCACCTCTTCTTCATCTATCTTCACAATTTCTGGAGTCTAAAGAAAGCATTTTCAGAAAGTTTTTGTTGTGCTTAATGCTTTTAAAATTTATAAGTAATTTATCATCTTTCCACCTATAAGCTTATAATTACATTGTCCTTTTTTTAAATTTTATTACCCTATTCAGAATTGATTTAACTGGTAAATGAAATCCAAGCTAGTCCCCAAGCCATTAGTTCACCATTTCAATAGGTATAAAAAATTAATCAGCCATTTTTCTGTAAAAAAAACTCTACGAGCAATATAACTTAATTGATCAACAGGTTGATAAAATTGAGACTTCACTTCTAGAATCAAGAGAAAGAAAAGTGTTTATATGTGTAGATATCTAAGTATACGCATATACAAACTCACACAAAGACAGATACAAAATCAAATAATTCAGGAAAATAAACAAAATAATCATTTTAAAAATCTAACCTTTAGGCCTTACTATATAAAGTATAGTCACACAATAGCCTATTACTGACAGCAGAATGTCTTACTGAGAATAGAATGATAAACAGTCCAAAAATTTATTACTTGTTATCATAGAAGTTTCAATAAACTTCTGGTTTATCGAAAACTACTGATGAAAAATTCAGTTAAGCACAAATATCACTTAGGGTCAGTTGTATTTCTTTTCTGGCTTTTTTTTTTTTTTTTTTTTTTTGAGATGGAATCTCGCTCTGTTGCCAGGCCGGAGTGCAGTGGCATGATCTCTCATCATTGCAACCTCCACCTCCCGAGTTCAAGCGATTCTCATGCCTCAGCCTCCTGAATAGCTGGGACTACAGGCGCACACCACCATGGCCAGATAATTTTTGTATTTTTAGTAGAGATGGGGTTTCACCATGTTGGCTAGGATGGTCTTGATCTCTTGACCTTTGGCGGTCCTCAGCCTTTCAAAGTGCTGGGATTACAGGCATGAGTCACTGTGACCAGCCCAAGTCAGTTCTATTTCATTACTTGTGATCATGAGAGATTGCTGGTGTTCTTTCTCTCTGCTTTTAAAACTGTTTCCTCAATGACTAAATTTGCTTACAATAAACAAAACTTGAGGTAAGTTACATTGCTATTTTGCTGTGTAGTAAAGCCATAGCTTCATTATTCAAAAGCAAATAAATACCAGGAAGAAATGCACATTTTTGTATCATGTCTACAGTAGGATAACAAGGTAACATTCCAAAATATAAACTCCAATTGTCACTATAAAATTCACACTTAGGAAATCTATAATTCCCATGTAAATCAAAGATTTATCACCAAAGAGAAATTCTTTCTTCACATGAGAGTTTCACAACTTAAATTATCAAAACGTTACATTAAAGAGTATCACTTTCCAAACAGTTATAAATGTAAGAATCTGAAACAAACTTTCAAGTTCATAAACAATTCAAAATTTGTTTTGGGCTGGGCGTGGTGGTTCACACCTATAATCCCAAAACTTTGGGAGGCTAAGGCAGGGGAATCACTTGGGTCAGGAGTTCAAGACCAGCCTGGCCAACAAGATGAAATACTGTCTCTACTAAAAATACAAAAATTAGCCAGGTGTGGTGGCAGGCGCCTGTAATCCCAGCTACTTGGGAGGCTGAGGCAGGAGAATAGCTTGAACCTAGAGGCAGAGGTTACAGTGAGACAAGATCATGTCACTGTACTTAAGCCTGGGTGACAGAGCAAGAATGTCTAAAAAAAAAAAAATTTGTTTTGAATCTTTTCCTCAAAATCGAAATTTTTATAATAGGTTATGATAAAATGCTTTAAATGGAGTAACATTAGTTAAAATCTACAATCAAACATTATTCAAAATAATATGATAAAATTCTGAAATATACCTTTATCCAAGTCTGCACAGGAGGAAGAGATGCTTCCTTGGGACTAGGCAGAGGTGAACTGGCATCAGCACTACCATTTGAAATGCTGTCGATATCTACACTGGGCAATACCTAAAACAAAATACAACATTTAGTTTTCTGTTTATCGTTTCTACTCAAACATTTTTCTGTGGATGTATATGTATATGTATATGTATATGTATATGTATATGTATATGTATATGTATATGTATGTGTATGTGTATATGTATACGTATGTGTATATATATAAATACATGATGTAAATATATATATGATGCTTTGCTTTTATGTATATATGTATGTATAGATAAAAACAAAGCATACCCTTTAAGTTTTTATTGTGAAGCCAATGAATAACAAAATTTTTTTTTTTTTTTTTTTTTGAGACGGAGTTTCGCTCTCGTTACCCAGGCTGGAGTGCAATGGCGCAATCTCGGCTCACCGCTACCTCCGCCTCCTGGGTTCAGGCAATTCTCCTGCCTCAGCCTCCTTAGTAGCTGGGATTACAGGCGCGCGCCACAACGCCCAGCTAATTTTTTTTGTATTTTTAGTAGAGACGGGGTTTCACCATGTTGACCAGGATGGTCTCGATCTCTTGACCTCGTGATCCACCTGTCTCGGCCTCCCAAAGTGCTGGGATTACAGGCTTGAGCCACCGCGCCCAGCCAATAACAAAATTTTTAAATTATGAAAGCATATTTTACAAAATGTGAAAAACAAAGAGGGAAATACACAAAATTTTATCTTTTTTTTTTTTTTTGAGACAGAGTCTCGCCCTATCGCCAGGCTGGAGTGCAGTGGCCCGATCCCGGCTCACTACAACTTCCGTTTTCTAGTTTCAAGCAATTCTCCTGCCTCAGCCTCCCGAGTAGCTAGGTCTACAGGCACGCACCACCACGTCCAGCTAATTTTTTGTACTTTTAGTAGAGACGGGGTTCACCATGTTGGCCAGGATGGTCTCGATCTCTTGACCTCATGATCCACCCGCCTCGGCCTCCCAAAGTGCTGGGATTATAGGCGTGAGCCACCATGCCCGGCCCTAAAATTCTATCTTAAGATAACTTCATTTTCACTATTCCCTTCGTCTTTTACTATCTACTTATACATAACTCAAATTTAAAATAGTTTTCATTTGGCCGTGCCTGGTGGCTCACGCTTGTAACCCCAGCACTTTGGGAGGCCAAGGCAGGCAGATTACTAGGTCAGGAGATCTAGACCATCCTGGCTAACACAGTGAAATCCCATCTCTACTAAAAATACAAAAAATTAGCCGGGTGTGGTGGCACACACCTGTAGTCCCAGCTACTCAGGAGGCTGAGGCAGGAGAATCGCTTGAACTCGGGAGGTGGAGGTTACAGTGGCTGAGATCATGCCACTGCACTCCAGTCTGGGTGACAGAGTGAGACTCCTTTCCAAACAAAAAAATAGTTTTCATTCTTGATTTTTCATTGTGATTACAATGAAGAACCATAAACACTTTATCATACTTTTGCACAGACTTCATAATTATTTTTTTTATTTTTATATATTTTTTGAGACAGAGTTTCGCTCTTGTTACCCAGGCTGGAGTGCAATGGCGTGATCTCGGCTCACCGCAACCTCTGCCTCCTGGGTTCAGGCAATTCTCCTGCCTCAGCCTCCTGAGTAGCTGGGATTACAGGCATGCGCCACCATGCCCAGCTAATTTTTTGTATTTTTAGTAGAGACGGGGTTTCACCATGTTGACCAGGATTGTCTCGATCTCTTGACCTTGGGATCCACCCGCCTCAGCTTCCCAAAGTGCTGGGATTACAGGTGTGAGCCACCACACCCAGCCTGACTTCATAATTATATTTTTAAATGACTATATAACATTTCAATAAATATATATGTCTTAATTATTTAATTATGTTCCATTTGGAAAATTTTCCAATTTTTCCACTATCTCATATATATATATATATATATATATATATATATATGAATGATAGAAAAAATATGTATATATATCACTGCAAAATATATGTATCACTACAAAAAAACTTCAAATACACACACACACACACACACACACACACACACACACACAGGGTTTTCTTCCTAAACTCTAAATTAATTCACTATGCTAGATAGCCAGATACTGGATTAACTACCTTCTGAGCTACAGGATACGAATACTTAAGATTCTTGGAATTACTGGTGAAATATAATCCAAACAGCCTCTATTTACATAATCAAAAACATAATTAATTCTAAGTTTTATCCAACCCTTACCAAAATTAGATAATATGATTGTTTTAGCAATAATAGTTTTTAAATGGAAGCATATTATTTTAATTTGCATTATCTTGGTTACTGGTAAAATTTATTCATTTTGCTTGCGGATAAACTGTACTTCCTCTTTTGTAGAGTCTTATTCATGTCCTTTGAATATTTCTAGATTGAATCTATGTGTTTTCTTAATTTATGGAGATCTTTATATTTAAAAATTAATGCTTTACTAGCATCTTCTTTTTATAAGTTCTTACTGTGTATTGCTTGCCTTTTAATTAAGGATTTTCCCCACCCGATCTGGATTCCTTTAATTTCCCCAAGAATTGACTGTGCTAGTGATGCTCATTCATTCAATACACATCGACTGAGTTTGCACTTGGCTCAGGAAGCTGTCTAGGTTCAAGTGTCCCCAGGTCTCCCAAAGCCTCCACCGCTGCCACACTGGTTAGTGAGCCTGCACTGTCAGAAGGATGCCCAGACTGCTGTAAGTGAGGAACAAATTTGGGTTCATGTTGAGAGTCCCCTGCCCTGCAAGAATGACTGGGAGTTGAAGGGTTCCACTCCAGGCCAGGGCTTTATTGTGCATTTGCTCCTATCCAGCACAGGGCAAGGAGTCTTCCTGAGACCCAGTGACTGCCTCAGCCCTAACAACTTGGCTGTGAAAACATATTGTCAATTTTAGCTGTAGGGTGGAAGTCACTCTATGAGAATGAAGAATTTGTGGAGCTATATGGGTGATTTCTAAGTCTCTGGGAATCTCTCAGGCTGGTGGGTTGAGGCTGTTCTGTATAAATTTGTGCAGTAGAAATGGATGTTTCATTTGTTCAGGGAGGAGTGTGCAGTTAAAAGTCAGTACTAAGAGCCTATCAACTGTACATGTGGTGGCATTTGACAGCTCCAGGATTATCTTCTCCTCAGTGGTCAGGACCTAAGAATGAGGCAAGTCTCTCTTCCCAGAAGGCATACTAAGTTGCCCAAGAAAACTCAATCACGAGAAGAACCCTGGAGCAGTCTTAAGGACTGGAGTGTTCTAATTACTTGTAAGTAAGCAAGGATGGTAAGATGAACACAGGGGTTGGAGTAAATTAGCCAAAAAGTTTACCATGGTTCATGAATACTTTTCTACATATGCCTCCTGACTGGTCAATAGAAAATCACATGTAAACACTCATGTTCACTTTTGTCCAGATCTAGTGAAGACCTCAGCTTCTACAGCTGGATCCCAGGCCAATGGGTAGATGTTTGAATGTGGAAGTCAAAGGGTTTCTTCCCACATGAGCCTGTTTAAGTCTTGTATTCATTCAAGTCTTCTAACATATGTTACTGTAAAGTTTCAAGTATTAATTATATAAGTCACAAATATTAACTTTTTAAAAATTAGTTATAGTACACAGTTCAACTGTTCCCTTTGGAATATTATTAAGCCACTTGTCATTGGCCTAGAAGAATAGCATAAATCATCCAAAACAGGATAGAGACATCGCATTAATATCACAGTTTTAAAAATAAAAGAACCAGCTGGGCACAGTGCCTCACACCTGTAATCCCAGCACTTTGGGAGGCCAAGGTGGGTGGATCACCTGAGGTGAGGAGCTCAAGACAAGCCTGGCCAACATGTGAAATTCCGTCTCTACTAATGCAAATACAAAAAATCAGCTGGGCGTGGTGGCAAGCACCTGTAATCCCAGCTACTCAGGAGTCTGAGGCAGGAGCATTGCTTGAACCCAGGAGGTGGAGGTTGCAGTGAGCGAAGATCACACCATTGCACTCCAGCCTGGGTGACAAGAGTGAAATTCCATCTAAAAAATATAAATAAATAAAAAGTAAAGGAGCCATGATGAAAGCAGTATTTTCATTAAGTATTAAAATGAATTTCGCTAATGTTAAGCAAAAAAATTGTTTCTTCCTTAAAATTTTCTACTCATACACACTGGCATACCTGTACAGTAAGCCGAGGAGGATCCTTTTTTTCTGACTTTATTTCTACAACAGCTATGTTAGGTTTCTTTACTCCAGTTTCTACTCTTTGAGATGATGGAGGAATAGAAGTAGTCACAGTTACAGGGTGTGGCTTGCTGACAATCACTCCAGCAGGTGGCACAGAATCACTATTACTTTGGGTTTGTCCTAAGAAGTTTAGGGGAAAAAATAAGTCAACTATTTCAGAAAAAAAAAAAAGAAATGTCTAATACACCGCCTGGATCTTAATGGCTATATTCTCATATGAAAAAAGGTCCTATCTGACAATCACCTCTCTCTCCATCATCAACATTACCGACATATTCACCATACCCAGCGACTTTTACTAGGGAGTTATGTGTACTAACACTTTACATCACTATCTACTTTAATCCTCAAAATAAAGGCTAATATAAAGCTATTAATATTATGCACATTTCAAAATGTCAAAAACTTTCATTTCCAAAGTCCTACTTGTTTTCTACATATCAAAGTAAAAAGGGGTAGTACAGTGTACTTGTTGAAAATACAGACTATAAAGCCAGACTGCCTCTGCCTGGGTTTGAATACTGACACCATTCCCGCTGTGTGGCCTTTGACAAATTATGTAATCCCTTTGTGCTTCAGTTTCTTTAGCTATATAATTTGTATAATACCATGTGCTTTATAGGGTGGATTAAATGAGAGAATATATGTAAAGTGCTCAGAACTGTACCTGGCACATAGTAAGGACTTTAAAAGTGTTAGCTATTTTATTACTAGAAGATATGTTTAAACAGAGAGCTATTATGTTGACATGCCATTAACCCATAATTTCAAAAATAAAAAATTATCTTATGTTAAAAAATATTCATACTTAAATCATTAACCAAAACAAAATAATAGCAATGATACTAAAGGGAAAAAAAAGAGCTAATTGGACTTGAAGAGCTGGTATGAGGACAAAAATGATCTGTTTAATTTTTAACATGACAACTCAAAGAATGCAAATAAGTAAATAAACAGTTATTGGCTTAGATTACACACCCACACAGCTTTCACTCTGATAGCCTAGTACAAAAGTACAAAAAAGTACATGAATACTTCCCCAAAGACATAATGGTATTAACAAGCCAATCAGACTTCTTGAATTATTATCAATGTCTATGACATATTTAAACTTTTCTTTTAAGACACAGGGTGTTGCTCTGTTATCCAAGCTGGAGTACAGTGGCATAATCATCATTTACTGCAGCCTCAAACTCTTGGCCTAGGCTGAAGGGATTCTCCTGCTTCAGCCTCCAGAGTAGCTAGGTCTATAGGGTATTCCACCAAGCCCAGATAATTTTTTTTTAAGAGACAAGCACAGTTGCTTGGGCTGGTCTCGAACTACTGGTCTCAAGCAATCATCCCATCTCAGCTTCCCAAAGTGCTGTGATTAAAGGCATGAGCCACTGTGCCCAGCCAAAACATTTTTTAAAACTTCATTTCATCTATAATAATATACTATAACCTATCAAAAGAATGCTTCCCACCATTTCAGAGACTGCTATTATACAGCACAAAATACACTCTGAGCCCTTCCCCACAAAAACAAACAACATTTACAGGAAAAGGTAGGTGACTATCATGTTAGTACCATCTTGTAAGTTCTGCTACTGCTGATAAGAATTTAAAATTCACAGGCTGGGCACGGTGGCTCACGCCTGTAATCTCAGCACTTTGAGAGGTTGAGGTAGGCAAATTGCTTGAGTCCAGGAGTTCCAGACCAGCCTGAGCCACATAGCAAAATCCTGTCTCTAATAAATAAACAAATGAATAAATAAACAAAATTCATCCCACATATTTTGTTGGGTCTTACCTAAAAGAATTGCAATAGGAATCAGATGACCTTCCAGTGTACCTGAAAAAGTAGGCATTTCTCTACTTGGGCTGAATAAATACTGCTGATCGCCATGAGGTAACATAGGAATGGAATGTTTCATTTTGGAATCCATCTTTATAGGTTTCGTTGCATAGAAGTCAGTCTGTGTTCTTATTGACTTTACCTTAGTGCCTATAATAATTACCAATGGCAGACATTTAAAAATACTGTTAAAACATCTACTATCCAGCCATCTAGAAATACAATAGCTCTTCACAGAAAAATCTCAATTCTATATATAAAGTTACAGGGCCCCAAAACAGAAGTAATATATAGACCAGAGGTGCCAAACTGCTTAAATGGCCAGATAGTAAATATTTCAGTCTGGCAGGCCACATGATCTCAGCTGTAATGACTCAGTTCTGCTGTTGTATCATGAAAGAAGCCATGGACAATATTTAAATGAAGAAACACAGTTAGATGCAAATAAAACTTGATAAAAATAGTCGGCTCACCTGTAGGCCATAGTTGCCAGCCCTTAAATAGATAAACAACTTGTACAGCTACTATGACAGAATAGATACAACTAGAAAAAAATGTTAAAGATTCTAAAAAATATTCAATGTTTGAATTCATTAAATTTTTTTCTATAGGTACAAAAAAGTTAATGATCATTTTTGGAACTGGATGATTTTCATTTTTTTCTTACACCTTTATGCATAACACAATTCTGAATAACCAGCCTTTATATTTAAAAATTATGTACAGATAATCTAATTCTATACGTACCTAAACCTTACAAATTAATACTGTTATATAGTAGGCCCTCCTTATCTGTAGTTTCTCTTTCCCTGTCTCAGTTACCCGGGGTCAACCTTAATTGGAAAATATCAAATGGAAAATTTGAGAAAAAAATAATTCATAAGTTTTTAAAATTATTATTATTATTATTATTTGAGATGGAGTCTTACTCCACCCAGGCTGGAGTGCAGTGGTGTGATCTCAGTTCACTGTAACTTCTGCCTGCCAGGCTCAAGTGATCCCCCCACCTCAGCCTCCAGAGTAGATAAGACCACAGATGCACACCACCATGCCCAGCTAAGTCATAAGTTTTACATTGCATGCTGTTCTAAGTAGCACAATAAAGTCTCATGCCATCCTGCTCCATCCATTTTTACTTTTAACATGTAGGTGCTTTTTTTTTTAATGCAGAAACCCCCAGTTTTAGTGTTTAATAATTAATAGCACAACTGACCAAGGTCCAAGATATGAAGATACCATGTTCAAGAAACTAGGGGGTAAAGCACTCTGTAAACTGACTATGTAGTATGTGATAAGAAAGCACATTTTATAATATAAAACCTGTCTACACACAGTATTTAGCTGCAAAAAGCCATTCAGTCTTCTCTTGGCTTGGAAAAATGGTGTTCCAGATTCCAGTATAAATTATTGGCAACCCTTAACTCTCTTTTTGTGGCAGATATCTTGTTTTCACCTTCCAGTTCTTCCATTCCAGCCCATGTCATAAGGTCTGTGATGTTCTTCTCCGGATTATCAATGTGACTACTTAAATCATCAATTCTCCCAATGATCTGGTCAGACATGGTCTGAAATTTATCTTGCATCTGCTGCAGGAGTGTCTGCACCACTGAGGTAAGGTCCTGCATGGTCCTGGGGTCAGTCTCAACCATCTCCCTAGTACCCAGCTTGGTGGTGATGTCTCAGACCATCACCTACACTTCCATTTCACATGTGGGTGTTCTTATGTATTCAATTTTTGTTTTACAGAGACAGAATCTTGCTCAGTTGCTCAGGCTGGAGTGCAGTGGCACTATCATAGCTCACTACAACCTTGAACTGCAAGGCTCAAGTGCTAAAGCAATCCTCCCACCTCAGCCTCCCAAGTAGCTGGGACTACAGGCACACCCTGCTAATATTTTTAATTTATTGTAGAGATGGAATCTAGCTAGGTTGCCAAGGCTGGTCTTGAATCCTGGGTATCAAGCAATCCTCCTGCCTCAGCCTCCCAAAGTGGTAGGATTATAGGCATGAGGCACTGTGCCCAACCTATACATCTAGACTTTTAAATATAGGTTCCTTTTGTTTATGATCCCAGGAAGAAAAATTTTCGTACCATGTCTATATTCTTTCATCTTGTATTCTGATACTCATTCATTCTATTAAATGAATAGTGTTTGTTTAAAATGTTTTTTCAGCATTTAATATGTGTTAAACATTGTTTCAGGCACAAGGAATACAGAGGTGACTAAACCAACTGTACTCGTGGAGTTTACAGTCTAGTAGTGACAAACAAATAAATAATAAAACAAACAAAAATGTAACACAAGAAGTGTGAAGTGCTATGAAGAACAATACGGCAGGGTGAGGAGATAAAGAGGAACAGAAGATAAGTCTTTGAATAGAATGGTCAGGGTAGATCTCTCTAATGAGCTAACATCTAAGAGCAGAGAGGGAAGAACTGAGAGAGAGAACCATGCAACTGTTTGAACCAAGAGCTCTCCAGACAGGGGAAATGGCAGGTACTGAGGCCCTAGGATGAGCATAAGTCCTTAGGTTCTGATATGGCTTGGCTCTGTGTCCCTACCCAAATCTCATCTCAAATTGATCCCCATGTGTCACAGGAGAGACCTGGTGGTAGATGACTGCATCATGGGGACAGTTTCCCCTAATTTGTTCTTGTGATAGTGAGTTCTCATGAGATTTGATTAAAAGGGCATGGCTTTCTATGCTCTGTCTCTCCTGATGCCATGTAAAACGTGACTTGCTTCCCTTCCGTCATGACTGTAAGTTTCCTGCAGCCTTCCCAGCGAAATGGAACTGTGAGTCAATTCCACCTTTTTTTCTTTATAAATTACCCAGTCTCAGGAAGTTCTTTATAGCAGTGTAAAAATGGACTAATACAGGCTCTCAATTACTTCTGACCATTAAAAGGGTTACTGAATAAAGTTATTTTCGGATCTGAAAGCATTTTAAAATCTCAAATTATTTTTTGCAAAGACTTTCAAAATCCCACATGTAAATTACTAGCAAAGCTACACTAGGCCAGGCATGGTGGCTCACACCTATAATCCCAGCACTTTGGGAGGCCAAGGTGGGTGGGTCACCTGAGGGCAGGAGTTCAAGGAGCCTGGCCAATATGGCGAAACCCTGTCTCTAATAAAAATACAAAAGAAAATTAGCCAGGCGTCATGGCACATCCCTGTAATCCTAGTTACTCAGGAAGCTAAGGCAGGAAAATCGCTTGAACCCTGGAGGCAGAGGTTGCAGTGAGCTGAGATCACGCCACTGCACTCCAGCCCAGGTGACAGAGCAAGACTTCCATCTAAAAAAAAAAAAATTAGCAAACTACACTAAATAAGAGAAAACTTTAGGGTAAATACCATCCATTAGGATAAATATCACCCATAAGCTATATGCTTTCCATTTTAAAATAATGTAAGTAAAATTTCTATATAACCTGACACTCTGTATGATTACATAACCTTTAGAAAGGAAAGGTGACCAAAGTAACCACCATAGCGCCAACTTCTAGAAAGGATAAGAGAGGAAAACAGATGTGTGTCTACTAGATATCACATATTGTCAACTGTTGCTTACTGATTGCTAAGTAGAAGCTGATAAACTATAGTACATAACCAAAGTTAACAGACTCAGTATATAACCAAGAGTTATACTTAAATATACAGTACTGGTGAAACAGTAGATGTGACTCAAAACACACAGTGATAAATGAAGATGTTTTCAGTTGTGCACAAAAGCAACAAAAAAAGTCTTCACCTTTCTACCTAAGTCTCTTTTAAAACAAAACTGCAAAAGTGCCCATCAACACATTTATGATAATGAACAGCATATGGCTGATCTTTCTGTTCATAAGAACATAATGGACCAAGGTCTTTAGGGAAATGTCTAGATTATAATTTAGATGCTCAAGATTCATCATCACCCAGCCTAGGCAATATGGCAAAATCCTGTCTCTACAAAAAATACAAAAAAATTAGCCATGTGTGGTGGTGTTTGCTTATCGTCCCAGCTACTTGGGAGGCTGAGGAGGGAGGATCACTTGAGCCCAGCATGTCAAGGCTGCAGTGAACTGTGATTGTACCACTGCAATCCAGCCTGGGGGACAGAATGAGACCCTGTCTCAAAAAAAAAAAAAAATTCATTTTCTCCTAAATAAAACTTTTACGATGCTTTTTCTGAAGATGCCATTTAACCCTACATTTCTTCCCAATTATTCCTATCTTGTGTATGATTTTTAAGTTTTAGCCTATTTCTTCCTACCTCTCCTAAAAGGAATTATTTTTCATCACCAAGCATTATATAATTTTAACTGCATTTATAAGTAATAAATAAAAAGCAAAAAGAAACTTTACATGTTAAACTGATACTACTAAGAAGTGAGAGTAAACACAAAAAATGAGATTCCTTACCTTTAACTCGTTCTATTACTTTTGGTCTCTGTGGTTTGGACTTAGGAGATGGAGAATTAAATCTGAGATATGGTCCTTTTTTAAGAGTGCTTCGATGGCCCTGATAAACTGGCTTTCCATAGACTTGTAACATATAATCTTCATCTTGAATTACTGTGGATGCTTTCAAAAGCCCCTATGTGTATAAAGTTATTGAACTCACCATGAAAATAGTCATCAAACTATTTTCTCTCATTTTTCTAAAGCCACCTTTGCTAGCTTAAGTACTATAATAAGAATGATCAGGTCAAAAATAACCTCTTTTAAACAGCCCTTAAATTCTAGATATAGATTTCAAGCATTAGTTTGAAAAGCTTTAAATATAAAAAATCATCCACCTAAGAAACATGAAAATTTTTACCTTACTAAGTATATTTTCAGCACCAAAGAGAAACATTTAAATACATTTTACTTATTTATTATATTCAAGTACAATAAAAATACAATAACCTTAACTTTTAAATAATTTTGCATATTCCTGAACCCACCTTCAACCATAATCTAAATGTTACAGAAAGGTAGCATTTACTGAGCATCTACTAAGTACCAAGGATTGAATTAGATATTTGCTGATCTTTTCAACAATCCATATTTGGCACTAAGAAAGTTATAGCCTACTTAGAGCAGTCAAAAAAATTTCCTCCATACAATCTAGTACCATGGCTTGCATATACTAGGCACTAAACATGCATTTGTTACACTGAAAAAATAAACTACACACACACATGCACACACACACACAAATGAAACACAATTTTGAGTACCATCAACTAGAGAATCCAGTTTTTGGTCTAAATGATCTCTAGATACACCTGCTATAACTACAAAACTATGATACCAGGGTGTGAGGTCTCAGAAGAAAGGAACTATCTATTTTGTTCAGTGCTTTTCACATTATAAATCCAAAATTCTAAGTATCAATAGTATAAAAATAGCCTACATTTGTATAATTCTTCATATTTTAAAACACCATCACATTTGCTTCATTAATTATCTCTTAAAGGAAATGATTGATTTTAATGCAACAATTATGTTAAAAGAATAGATTAGGATCTTACTTCTTTTCTCTCTTTCTGTATACTTGCAGGAGGCATGCCCCTTATAGGTAGATTTCTAAAATGCTCTTCGACTTGCTTTTGAGAATGTTTTCTTGGAATTACAGATTTGTTTACAGTTTTATCTTGTGTGTTGGTTCTAATATCTTTAGTCATATTGTGAGCTTTCTTGGTCCTCTGATACTTCTGATCAAATCTTTTTTGTTCATAATCTGTTCTTGACAGTTCATCCTTAATATAACCAAAGTTAAAATTACTTAAAATACATCCAAATAGTAATGCTTTCACATCAGAAAGTATTAGAATTTATTTTTTGCTGTTATGTAAATACAGTTAGCAGTTTTAAATATGTTAAAATAAAGGATATTGGCTTTATTGGATATATAAAAATAAAAATTCTCTGGAAAAATAAAACCCTAAAAAGACTAGTATCTTTTGAAGCAGGAGGAATGGGAAATAATAGAAGGGTTGCAGGGGTAGGAGGACAACTTTAAGTGACAAACCTTTTTACACTTTTTGATGCTTGAACCAAATGAATTTTGTTAACAATTTAAAAAATAAAACATACATTTCAAAAAAAGGAAACAATTTTGTAACAAAACTCTGAGGTAAAAATAAATTAAAATTATTTGGAAGTTTAAACAATCATATTTTACATGGAATTCATGGCCAAGAGTGAGATATACTGCCAGTTGACTGTAGAGCCAAAACTAGATTCCAAATCTTCAGATTCTTAGTCCAACTTTTTGTGTGTGTGCATCTTATAGTACCTAAAATAAATTTTTCATACCTTCATTAGAAATATATCTTCTTTAACAACAAAGTTTCAACATATATTTCTGTGTTTATTGATGTGAAACAGTACTGATGCTTCACCTTGCTACCATAGTGAGTAGCACATAAGCACATCTACAGTAAAAAAAAAACACACCTTGCACCCAGCTTAACCGGTCTAGTTTGGCTCACTCAAATATATAAAATTTTTTAATTTCCTAAGAAAGATAATTCGCAGACCTTCACAATGCTAAATGTTTGAAGATGTGCATTCCTATTGTGGATGTGAGAAAGAGGCTGTTTTTCCATCTGGAACTGACTTCTGTAAACTTAATAAATCTAGTTTTTTTTTCTCTTTGCACAACTCTGGTATTTTCACTTTGGTGAGCCAATACTTCTAAATCTGCTGTTTTAAAATATCTTTGCAATTATAATTCCTTTTCCAAAGACTTTTGCTAAATTTTCTTTCAGATTATTCATATTTTATTGTTCAACAATTTGCCAAATTAAGAGCCACAATATAATTTGAGATAAAGTACTTGTTAAAACTAAATTTATTACTAAGTAAATATAAAGAGTGAGAGTGAAATTAAAAACTATAAGTGGATTTTCATATAAGAAATATTTTGAAAACAAGTGTAATGCCTATAAATTGGAATCAATGTTATCTTCTGAGAATTCACTTAATCAGTTTTTTCCAAGACATACCTGAATTTCTGCAGAAATAGTTTTAATCCACTCATCCACTGTCCTTCTGATCCTAATTTTCTCTGACATCTCTCTATAAAAGAGAAAAAGGAATTTTCTCAAATTAGCACTTAATGTCCTGAGCAGGACTTGGATCAGATCTAACTCTTATCTAGTTGTGAACCTACTAGCCTAATAACCTTCATCTGAAAAGAAAAGGTTATTAGGAAAGTAGGATAGGGGCCTAATATCCTTCATCTGAAAAGAAAAAAACCAATGGTACTAGTTTTCATCAAATATTTGATAAATGTTTGAAAAACACATGTAGACCAAAGAAAGAAAAAACTAAAAGAAAAATTTCCACCAGAAAACAGTAGTACCACCATGTATATAACCAAATTCTAACTTTATAATAAGTTCTACATCCTCAAAGGCAATAAAGAACCTTTTAAAAAACACTAAAACATTTTAAGCAAAATAAAGTGCTTAGAAAAAAATTAAGAAGTAGAACTGTCAGTCTCATAAATAATCTCGGATGCCAACATCCTCTTACCTGTTGGTAGATAAAGCATTGATAAGTGAATACATGGCAGCTCCATCTTTTGCACGAATAATAGCTTCCAGGTTTTCTTCAAGTACTTTTTTATTGTTCTGTACTCCTCTCAAAATCTTCTCAGCATCTTTCAACACAGATTTTGTTGTATTGCTTGTTTGAGGCTTAACAGAATTCTGTGGAAGATCTGCAAGCTTCAACATACTCAGAGATTCTTTTGGCTTAAAAGAAAAAAAGACCAAAAGTTACTAAACTCACATTGATTCTTTTAATCAAAACAAGGGCTATCACTAACATTGGGGCCATACACTATGCCAATATATTCTAAGGACTCAATTTGTCAAATTGAAGAGTTACAAAAGAATACTTGGCAATCAAAGTGCTTTTCCTCCATTTAGAAATACTAATGTGGGCCAGGAACGGTGGCTCACACCTGTAATCCCAGCATTTTGGGAGGCTGAGGCAGGTAGATCACCTGTGGTCAGGAGTTCGAGACCAGCGAGGCCAACATGGTAAAACCCGGTCTCTACTAAAAAACACAAAAATCAGCCGGGCATCATGGCACATGCTTGTAATCCTAGCTACTCAGGAGGCTGAGGTAGGATCACTTGAAGCTGGGAGGCAGAGGGTGCGGTGAGCTTAGATCATGTCACTGACCTCCAGCCTGGGTGATACAGAGAGACTATGTCCCCTCCAAAAAAAAAAAAAGAAAAGAAAGAAATCCTAATGTGAGTGTCAAATAAAATAGAGGTGGGAAATCCACAGAAGTGTTGAGCAGTCCAGAGACCAAAAATAGCTCTCTCTGCTGAAGAAAGCTAAACCAAAATAAAAGCAAGTTGGCTGTTTATGTATGGAATGTATGGCAGACATTGTGGATTGGATAAATGAGGTCTATTCATTCACAGGTCTTCTTTTCCCCTTCCTCCATTTCTAACAGAAGCTGGGAAGCCAGAGGTGGCTATATGGCTCAGTCCTCGTCAAGGAGCGATAAGTAGAAATCACTTGGTGAAGGCCTCTGGAAATATTTTGTAAATGGAACAGTCATGGCTAACAGGTCTTTTTCAGTGCTTTTTCTTCATCCTTCCTCCTAATTTTTATCTTTATAACCTTTTTTATTTCTTTTAATTTTTATCTTAACCAATTATAAATGTTAAGACCATTCCCATTTTACCTGAACCATGCCATCTGTTTCTTTCTTCTTTTGGCCAAGGTCATGAAGAACATCATCAGACTTCTGCACAGTCACTTTAGCTGTTCCTAGCTCTTCATAGGAAGGAAATCTTTCAGAAGGTAGCGTTTCAATGCTATAAAAGATTTTTTTTAAGTTTTCTAAATTGTTGTAAATTCAGTAAACATTTCATTACCCATCTCTTTGATACAGTCTTTATACATTACTAAGTGCTATCCTATTAAAATTGTACCAGGGAATTAATCAGTTATGTGACTAAAAACACATGAAACACAGAAAATAACAAGAGACAAAAATTCATCTAACCAGAAAAATTTAGATGTAGCAAAAAAGGAGCAGGAAAAGGTTGTGCTTTCAAGAAGCAACATCTAGAAGCACTTCCAGATTGGTGGAGTAAGAACTTCTGAAAATCTACTGCTCTGTAAGCATAATGAGAACCCTAGCAAAAATCATCAAAATCAAATTTTGCTAACCTCTGGAAATTAAAGACTTACAACAACCCGAGGGGCATTGATTCAGGAAAAATGGCTGACTCTAGGTAAGAACAGCAAGCTTTATAGAATTTTTTTAACTTGCCTATCCAATTCTGTGGTGGCCTTGAAAACCAACAGTCTCAAAACCACTAAAGAGTGTAGGATGGCTTGGAGCTCTCCCAAAAGTCTCATTCATAGTGCTTGTCTTTGTCTGATCTGACTCACAGCTAGATGAGTGAGAAACCATACCCAGGACATTTTTCAAAAACACTGGCAATTGTTTAACATCTCAGCAGCCTGAGGTTGTGATACTAGTTGGGGAAAACAAGATTGTGGTCAATAAATCTTAAAAATCTAGGTAATAAGATGTCCATGGTGGAGTTTTGAAAAGCTCCAACATATTCCTGGGAATTTAGAAGGCCATGCCTTCTAGTCTACATACAGGGTTATATACATGCCCAAGAGAGACCTGGGAAGATCCTAACCACTCACTTCTAGCTGACCTTGATGCTCTGTACAAGTTAAGAAGTGAAGGCTAAAATAGACTCATAATCTGCCAGGCACTGGAGGCATGCTCTAGCTCATGCACACACATACACACACACACACACACACACACACACACACGGAATCCAGGGCAAAGAGAAGGAGACTTATCAGTTCAAGGCAGTTAAGGAAATCTCTTTCCAATCATTAGTAGACTAAGCTAACAAAACAGAGACTTCAGTGGGTGCATATGACAAAGAATACAGACTTCACAGAATTAGTCCAGGAAAGTCACTAAACAAACAGCAACAATAGCTAGCAACAACAATAAACTCTGGGAGGTGAAAGAATCTAATTTCCAGAGTTGCCACACTGTATTATGTAAAATGCCCAGCTTTCAACAAAAATTTACAAGACATACAAAGAAACAGGAAAGTATAACCCAAACATAGAAAAAAGCACAGTCAAAAGAAACTTCCCTTGAGGAATCCCAGATATTAGATGTACTAGGCAAAGACTACAAATCAGCTATTACTAAAAGAAACAAGTTTAAAAGTTAAAGGAAAGTTTAAGAATAAAGTCTTGCTAAATATAGAATGATCAATAAGGAGATAGAAAATATTTTTTAAAAAGACAAACAGAAATTCTGCAGTTGAAATGTAAATTCACTAGAGGGGATCAACACCATATTTGAGTTGGCAAAAGAAATAACAAACTTGAAGACAGGTTAATTGAGAATATCCAGTCTCAGAAATGGAAAGAAAAATAGATGAAGAAAAATTAATCGTCTTAGAGACCTATGAGACACCATCAAGCACACCAACACACAATTCCTCATCAGAAACCATAAAGTCCAGAAGGCAGTCAGATATCACACTCAAAAAGCTGAAAAAGAACATCTACCAAGAATGCTATATGTAGTAAAACTATCCTTCAAAAGTGAAGGAGGGGACATCAGGGGTGTGTGTGCAGAGAGGGATGACCATGTGAAGAGACAGTAAGAGGGAGGCCACCTGTAAGCCAAGAAGAGAGGCCTCAAAGGAAACCAACCCAGCCAGCACCTTGATTTTGAACTTCTGGCTTCCACAACTATGAGAAACCAAATTTTTGTTTAAACAACAAAAAGTGAAAAAGAAATTAAGACAGTACCAGATAAACAAAAACTGAAATAATTCATTGTTAACAGACGTATCGTATACAAAATGTTAGCAGGAGTCCTTCAGGGTGGGATAAAAAGATATTAGACTAACTTGAATCCATATGAAGAAACAGGGTACTAGTAAAGACGAACTATATAGGTAAATATAAAAGCCAGCATATATATTTTTATTTGTATCTCTTTTCTTTTCCTATCCGACTTAAAAGACAGCTGCATCAAATACTAATTACCAAGCTCTCTAGATGGGCTTATAATGTATAAAGATGTAATTTGTATGATAATAATAGAGGAAAGAAAAGTGGAGGGAACAGGGCTTTACTGGAGAAAAGTTTTTGAATACTACTGAAATTAAATCACTAGTAATCCAAATTAGATTGTTTTAAATTAATATGTTAATTATAATTCCTACAGTGACCACTAAGAAAATAACTAAAAAAAAGTAGCAAAGGAAATGACAAAATAATTAAAATGGTGCAACTAGAAAATCTCTAATACAAAAGAAGGCACTAAGAGAGGAGCAGTGAAACTAAAAGACCTAAGGCATAGAGAAAGCAACATGGTAGACATAAATCCTACCTTATCAGTAATTACATTAAATGTAAATAGACTAAAATTGTATAATATCTCTGCATAAAATTACTCAACATATGGCTCCTTTAGTTTTTATTACTGTGGTTTTAAAGATGTTGAAGATAAATGTAACTATCATGGCCCACATTTTATTTTTTTTAACTTTATATTATGTAAAATTTCAAATAAACACAAAAATAGAGAAAATACTAAAATGAACCTCATATACCCTAACAACAATCATTAACTCATGGCTAGCCTCATTTTATCTACACTCCCAACCTACTTGTCCCTACCCTATATTGGATTATTTTTGAAACAAATTCCAGATATCATTTAATCAGAAATGAATAATCTACATACATTAGATATTAATAATCTATATTTTGAAAAAAATTAGATATTCATTTCATAGTAACATTATAGAAAGGGGGAAGATATATTAGCATCAGAAAATAGTAACTATATCTAAGATAAATTTAAGAAGCAATGCTATAATTTATTAAAAGTCAGAAAGAAAATTTGAAAAATCTGAACAAAGCTCTTTTCAACCTAGTTTTCATTACAGTACCTGTCTGTTTTCTCAAGATTCCATCCTATTTTTGACCTAGTTAGTGAGGTGGTGTTTGATGATTCACTTTTTCTTGACAAAGAATCATTATTATTCAAAATTTGTTCCAATAGTCCTACATTTCCTGAAATAGAAGAGATATAGTATCATTTTCCAAACACGAATTAATTTCTCTTTTATATGATATCTCACATATTTGTATGCTGGCCTAAGTTAGTTTCTTATGATGACTATCTACTCAATTTATAGCCTACAGTATAGCCTACAATGTAGGCTATAAATATACTCATCAAGTAAAACTAAATATTTATACCTCATAAAACCATACCACAGGCTGGGTGCAGTGGCTCACACCTATAATCTCAGCACTACGGGAGGCCAAGGTAGGCGGATCACCCGAGATCAGGAGTTCAAGACAAGCCTGACCAACATGGAGAAATCCCATCTCTACTAAAAATACAAACATTAGCCGGGCATGGTGGTGCATGCCTGTAATCCCAGCTACTTGGGAGGATAAGGCAGGAGAATTGCTTGAACCTGGGAGACGGAGGTTGCAGTGAGCTGAGATCGCCCCATTGGACTCTAGCCTAGGCAACAAGAGCCAAATTCTGTCTCAAAAAAAACAGAAAAACAAAAACTGTATCACAACATCATTAACTCATGGCTAGCCTCATTTTATCTATACTCCCAACCTACTTGTGGCTCATGCCTGCGATCCCAGCACTTTGGGAAGCTGAGGCAGGAGGACTGCTTGAGGCCAGGAGTTTGAGACCAGCCTGCGCAACACAGCAAGACCCTGTCTCTAGAAAAATAAATAAATAAATAAATAAATAAGTAAAAGTTTGAATTCATAGAAAAAACCCTAAATTTATTTTCATCACAGAAAAAAAGGAATTTGAGTGAGAAGTGTCATCATCACAAAGTCTAGCAAAATAGAAGATTTTTATAAATGTAAAGAAGAGATTTATCTATTTCTTCAAAGTACCAATTAAGTGGATCTATCCTTTAGCCTTGTTTGTATGTAGTAAGACTACATAATAATTTTTGTTGAGAGATTGCCTTCTTTATTACAGATTTTATTATCTTCTGCCTTTCTTAAAATTCCTTAAATGTGCCTAAGATAAGACTTGCATGCATTTAAATGATTCCAAGAATAAAAGCATTTAATATTCCATTTACTTTTGTTAAAAGGGGTACATTTTAAGACTCAGTAACACACTATTTTTCTTTTAATTTTTTTTTAATTTCCATAGATTTTTGGGGAACAGGTGGTATTTAGTTACATGAATAAGTTCTTTAGTGGTGATATACGAGATTTGATGCACCCATCACCCGAGCAGTATACACTGAACCCAATTTGTAGTGTTTTATCCCTCATCCCCTTCCCACCCTTTTCCCACAAGTCCCCGAAGTCCTTTGTATCATTCTTATGTCTTTGCATTCTCATAGCTTAGCTCCCATTTATGAGTGAAAACATAAGATATTTGGTTAATACACTATTACTTGCAGTCCCTTATAAAAGTTGTTGTTCTGTATTAAAAAGTTCACATATTAGCACTTTTTCCAAGTAAACATGGTAATAAATATTGTTTCTCTATGTTTTATTATGAAAATCCACACCTAAAAACAATATGAGGAAACATACTCTAAAAATGATTAGCCTTACCTTCAGCAAAGCATTTTTTTAAATTTATTTATTAATAACAAAACTTGGCCAGACACAGTGGCTCACATCTGTAATCCCAGCACTTTGGGAGGCTGAGGCAGGCAGATCACTTGAGCCCAGGAGATTGTGACCAGCCTGGGCAACACAGCAAAACTTTATCTCTATGAAAAATACAAAAATTAGCCTGGTGTAGTGGCATGCACCTGCAGTCCCAGCTACTCAGGAGGCTGAAGTTGGAAGATCAACTGAGCCCGGGGAGGTGAAGGTTATAGTGAGCCATGATCACGCCACTGTACTCCAGTCTGGATTACAGGGTGATACCTTGTCTCACAAAAAAATATATATAAATTAACAAAACTTGTTCATTACAGGTTTAAGTAATAAGCTGTAAGAGACAGAATAACTATAAACCTATACCTCCAATGCCTTTTACTAAGAACCTCAAAAAGCTTGATTTTTCCAGAAAGTATCACTTAAAGTAAAATGTTACAAATAGAGATCCAATTTAGTTACAACTAGGCACAAAAAAATCTCACGACAATTTCCTAATTTGGGATAGGTTTAGTGAAAGTCTCTATTACCTCTGTGACATGATACTTCCATATTTTCTTTTTCTTCCAAAAGATTTTCCCTCTTTGATAGTTCATCATTTCTTGAAACAGGTATAGGAGCAAATCTGCGAGGTGCTGGTGTCTCCAAAGGAGATTTCTGTTTGTCAAAACTCATATCTTCAGTTTCTTTTAAAGGTGCTTTAACAGAAAATTTTTTAAAAAATTAACTTGCTTTTAAGAAACTTAAAATAATTGCATATTACTCTTTCCTACACGTTAAAAGTAAAGCCAAAATTATAAATAATAAATTATTAACAAGTGTAGAGAAATAACTTTGTCCCCATTAAAAATCAAAAGAAATGAAGACAACATACATTTTATACTTGCATCTAGTAAATAAGAATCAGTATGATAATATTCAGAACTATGGAAGCTGTGATGAAACTGGCAGAGCCAGACACTTCTCATGGCAGTGAAAACTGATAAACCATCTGGCAATAAGTATAGGAAGAATTCAAGTTTTATATACTTTAACCTTAATCTTACTCTTGTGAAATTATTCTAAGAAAAATAACATTAAAGAAAGAAAATGTGCTTTAAATATGATGATGTTTATTACAGTATTATTTATGAAGATGAAAACCTAAAAACTGCCTGAGTAGCCAAAACAGGATAATGGTCAAGTAGATTGTGAAACAGTCATTCAATAGATCACCTTTAGTCATTACAAATTAAAATTATGAAGACAACTAACTGTATAAAACATGGAAAATCCTTCTATGTGCTAGTAAAAAAAAGCTGTATAAAATGCTACAACTATGTAAACATGATATATGCCCAAGAAAAAGCATAGAAAAATTAAAACTTTAACTTACTGAACTTTTAATTTACTCATATTTTTCTTTTGTTACTGTAACTTATATATACAAAGAAAAAATTCAGTTTACAATCAATAGAATAGACACCTTTTTCATAAAAACTATGCTTAAGAAAAACAAAATTATAAGCAAGAAATTCCCTGGAGTTGAGTTCTGAAAAAAGTGTCCACTGTTATAGAAGGCACACAGCTGGGTCATACTGAAATCTGAGTTCTGGCGCTAGTTCTGACATCCTCCCTTCCAAGTCAGGCAATCTTGAGCAGGCAAGTCATACCATTCTGTGCTTCACTGTCCTCTCTTCATAACTTAAAAATGGACTAATCTTACTTCACAACAGTTCTGTGTTGTTGTCTTTTGCTTGTTTTTAAGACAGGGTCTCACTTTGTCGCCCAGGCTGGAGTGCAGTTGCATGATCACAGCTCACTGAAGCCTCAACCTCCTGGGCTCAGGCAATCTTCCCACCTCAGCCTCCAAAGTAGCTGGGACTACAGGCATGTGTCACCACACCTGGCTAATTTTTTTATTTTTATGTTTAGAGACAGGGTCTCACTAAATTGCCCTTGAACTCCTGGGCTCAAGTGATCCTTTCACCTTGGCCTCTCAAAGTGCTGGCCACAAAAGTTTTACAAGGACCACTCATTTGTTGCAAAATGTAAAACACCTTATAAGCATGAGCAATCTTTAATGACTATAATACAACAACGTTCTAACAGATCAAGTGTTGAAAATATTGTACTATATAGATCTGTATATCACTAAAAGGATAGTCCCTCAATTTTCTTTAGTTCATTATTCAAATAACAATAACTTAGAAACACATTTATTCATTTATTTTAAATACTAAAGTTTTAACAAATAAGCTATGTATTGTTTTGTTATTACAGAGTTTTAAGATTCAGTCAAGATAAGCAGACTTGTGTTACTAACTCTGAAATATTTAGAAATGGTTTTAAAACGTACTCAGGCAGTTGCTCTGACAGAATCAAGAAAAATAGTAAATGTGCAGTTTGTCAGAGAGCAGAATTGATCTATTTACAAGCATTTTTGATAGTAAATAAGTAATATTTTTCTAAATTTATAAGCACTTCTGACAATTTATGAAGGTTATTAATTAAAACCACAGATAAGAACATAATTCATAATTTTTATAAATTTCAAAATAACCTAAAAATTACTTGACCTAAAAACAGAACTAGTTTTGGCTGGGTGCGGTGGCTCACGCCTGTAATCCAACACTTTGGGAAGCCAAGGTGGGTGGATCACCTGAGGTCAGGAGTTCAACACCAGCCTGGCCAACATGGTGAAACTCCATCTCTACAAAAATACAAAAATTAGCTGGTCATGATGGTGGGTGCCTGTAATCCTAGCTACTCAGGAGGCTGAGTCAGGAGAATCACTTGACCCTGGGAGGCAGAGGTTGCAGTGAGCCAATTTCATGCCATTACACTCCAGCCTGGATGATGAAGAGAGACTCCATCTCACCAAAAAAAAAACAAAAAACTAGTTTTAGCTAAGACAAGGTAGCCTGAGAAAGAAAATTTTAAAAAATAACTTTTTTAAAAAAAACTAGATTTATTTTTTAAAATGCTATGAGTAAATTTTATAAAACAAAGACTCCTACTGATTAGGAAATATGTTTTCAGCTTATGTAGCACAAAGAGAATTCATAGCTGACATTTTTTATTCATAGAGACCTACATATTTTTACCTTGTCTGGAAGCAAATGTGTTATATGAAGACGGATTACAGCTACCAAGATTAGGGTGTTCTGGTTTTACAAAATACTTTTCCACTGCTCTGGAGGAGGGCACACTAACAGGTTGAAAACTACTAGTCTTGAGTGCAGCACTAATAAAATGAGTCTAGAAGAAATAAGATTATGTTATTGTTTTCAAATATCATTTGAAAGAGATAATAAAATACATTGAAATATTAAAGAAGTTAAACATAATTTACTGTACTTAATGAAAAAATACATATTACACTGCAAATATGCACTGTAGAAGCAGCAGCGATGCCACTGGAAAGATGTAGAATCGCACTAAGCCTGACTCTGCTGTGTGACCTTAATTATTTTCCTTAACCATTCTAAACCTCAGTGCTTTCCTTTCTACCTCAGATATGGCTCAGGGGCCATTGCTGCCAGCTAAGAGAAGACCAGGAAAGAGAGACCGTCACCCTAAACCTCTACTTATATCAGAGAATTCAAAACTAAAACATCCCGTCTTTTATATCCTCAATGGTAAGATTTTGTTTGAAGCAAAGGTTTGAAAATCATTGACAGTAAGTTCTCAAATAAATATCCATGCTTAGCAGCAGCAATAACATATATATTTGCAGATAAATGGAAAAGAGCGACAACATAGTTTTCAGCACTGTTTATTAAAATGTCTGAAATGAGGTCAGGTGCAGGGGCTCATGCCTGTAATCCTAGCACGTTGGGAGGCCAAGGGGAGCAGATCACCTGAGGTGAGGAGTTCGAGATCAGCCCGGCCAACATGGCGAAACCCTGTCTCTACTAAGAATACAAAAATTAGCTGGGCATGGTGACAGGTGCCTGTAATCCCAGCTACTCAGGAGACTGAGGCAAGAGAACCACTTGAACCAGGAGGCAGAGGATGCAGTGAGCCAAGATGGTGCCACTGCACTCCAGCCTGGATGACAGAGTGGGACTCTGTCTCTAAAATAAAATAAAAGAAAATAAAAATAAAGAAAAATATCTAAAATGAGCAAGTATCTTAACTAATAAAACTGGTTTTGGGCTGGGCACGGTGGCTCACACCTGTAATCCCAGCACTTTGGGAAGCTGAGGCAGGCAGATCACCAGAGGTCAGGAGTTCGAGACCTGCCTGGCCAACATGGTAAAACCCCATCTCTACTAAAAATACAAAAAATTAGCTGGGCATGGTGGCAGGCACCTGCAATCCCAGCTACTTGGAAGGCAGAGGCAGGAGAATCACCTAAACCTGAGACATGGAGGTTGCAGTGAGCCAAGATCACATCATTTTGTCACCTACTCCAGCCTGGGTGACAAGAGTGAAACTCCATCTCAAAAATATAAAGAAATAAATTTCACATTAATTAGAAAAAAAGTAAATTAAAACCAACACATTTACAATACTGATCATTCACTCACTCAAAAAAAAAAAAAAAAAAATTTACTGAGTGCTAAGTAGTGTTCTAGGACTTAAAAATTCCAAAATAGGCCGGGTACGGTGGCCCACGTCTGTAATTCCAGCACTTTGGGAGGCCAAGGTAGATGGATCACTTGAGGCCAGGAGTTCAAGACTGGTCTCACCAACATGGTGAAAACCTGTCTCTACTGAAAATATAAAACTTAGCTGGGCATGGTGGTGCAAGCCTATAATCCCAGCTACTCGGGAAGTTGAGGCATGAAAATTACTTGAACCCGGGAGGTGGAGGTTGCAGTGAGCCGAAATCACACCACTGCACTCCAGCCTGGGCGACAGAGAGAGATTCCATCTCAAAAAAGAAAAAAAAAATTCCAAAATAAATAAGAAAGTATGCTATCAGCTTCTTGTGAAAATAGCACTTTTTATAATAACTCCAGTGTCTCAGTCTCAAACAGCATTAAAAATGTTCATTCTTTTACTTAATTAAATGCCAAAGCAAATATGTATACCAGGTAGTTCTTATCCAAGGGTGTGCATCAAAATCATTATGAAGCTTTCAATGATTGCCAGGCACTACCTCAGAATTGCTGGTTCAAAATCTCTGAAAGTCCTAAGCAAGTGTATGTGTATAATGTTTTTTTTGAGATAGGGTCTCACTCTGTCACCCAGGATGCAGCACAGTTGCATTATCATAGTTCACTGTAACTGCAAATTCCTGGACTAAAGGTCTCCTCCAGTCTCCCTATCTTAAATATCTGGGACTATAGGCACATGCCACCAGGCCAGGTTTTTTTTTTTTTTTTTAGAGATGAGGTCTTGCTACATTGACCAGGCTGGTCTTGAACTCTTGGCCTTAAGCTGTTGTCTTAGCTTGGCCTGCCAAGATGCCAAACACAAAAAGCATGAATATTTTTATAAAGTTTTACAAGTAATTCTAGTGCACATTCTCAGACTAAAAACTGCTGATATAAACACATAGCTGCAATATGATATAAGCATTTAAAAATGCGGCCAGGCATGGCAGCTCGCGCATGTAACCCTAGCACTTTGGGAGGCCAAGCAAGGCATATCACTTGAGGTCAGGAGTTCGGGACCAGCCTGACCAACATGCTAAAACCTCGTTTCTACTAAAAATATAAAAATTAGCTGGGCATGGTGGTGTGTGCCTATAATGTCAGCTACAAGGGAGGCTGAGGCAGGAGAATCTCTTGAACCTGAGAGGTGAAGGTTGTAGTGAGTGGAGATTGCAACACTGTACTTCAGCCTGAGCAACCATAGCAAGAGTCCATCTCCAAAAATAAATTAATAAAAATAAAAATGATATGAACAAAAATAGTGTAAAAGGAAGAAAAGCCAAACAGAGGTCTCACAGAACTAGTGACATTTGAGATATAACAAGCAGAGTTATTCACATTAGAGAACAAAGACAAGCAAATCATTATTTAAGAATTAAAACTGTTATAATCTAATGAGCTACTGCAATTATCAATGAATATTAGCTGAGAGATTCAAGTGAAAGATTAAGGAATCTGTACTGGCTTTATTATGGATACCTGAATATCTATTTGTTGTTGTTGTAATTTTTCAAGATTTCTTATGTGCTGCTCCATGAACACGTTCATCTGCTTTTCATGATCATGACAGTGTAGTTTCTCTTGTTTACTCTGAATGCTTGTTTGCTGCTCTGTAACACGTTGTAGGTGTTTATCAGTCTCCTGTAACTTACTAAGTAATTCTGTAACAGAATTGACTTTTGCTTCCAAATCACTCTGCACCTAAAATAAAAATATTTTTTAAATTCACATTATAGGATACCAAAAATATGTCTAATTACTAGAAATATTATTTAAATCAGAGAAGTGATCACATTTGAGCCTTTACCCACTAAATGTCTAATGATTTAATGCCTTTATTTTTAGAGTCACAGAAATGAAAGGCAAAAGACAACTATCCTTAGGTAAATGTTTCCTCTCAAAAACAAAAATTATACCAAATCTGCCACACAGAATTTTATGGTGGCTAAAAGATACTTAAGTGGAAATTAAAAAGAAGAAAACTACTGTAAAGCAAAATGGTTTTTGATACTTTACTAATGCAAGGCTGAGTTAGGTCAGCAGCCTTGAGTTCTAGTTTTGGCTCTGTCACTTACTCGTTCCAGACTCACGTGCCTACTATGACCTGTCTCTCTGCTTCCCCATTTAGAAAGTGACAGCCAAGGTATAGATTATCTCTACGGTTCCTCTAGCTCACAAATAAGAATAACTAATTATCCAGGTTGCCCAGGACCAAAATGTTTCCCAGGAGGCAGGACTCTCAGTGGTAAAATTAGGAAAGTTCTGAATTTGCTAGCGCCATCACAGTATTAGAAAGTAATTTTGAAAGTTCCTGAGAAGTAATAGACAACCACAAATGGGAAAATTCTTTCAAATTGAGAGCAACTACAATGTTTCTAGTCTATAATTGGACACAACCATTTATAGAATCAGTTCTTAATAAGTACTTCTATATTCACAAAGTAGTTACGAATATCTGAGAAGAAAAATATACCTTTATCAATGGAGCTGCGGTTGCAATGGCAGCAGCAGTTGCTGCAGCCACAGTTGTAGCTGAATCAATTCCACTGGGTGAAATTCTAGTCTCCTGAGTAACAGCATCCTTCTCTATGTCTGCATCTTCTAATAGATGTACCTTTACTTCCTTAAAAACAGGCATGCTTTGAGCTCTATAAGTAAAAAGCAATAAAAATGTATTCAGTAAACTACACATTGAATTATTTCAACAAATATTTACAAATGGTAATCTGCTAAAGATGGTTTTGATTTTTTAAATTAAATCACCTATTAAACAAGGTCATTTGGTTAACAATATTTACTAAGGTCCAGGTCGCTAAGAGCTAAAGAAATAAGATAATTCCTTCAAGATAGCAATATTATTTTGGGGAAAATAAAAATTACACATATGAAAAAGGTATGAAACAATTAAAAAGACATATTATCAAGAAGTACAAATTTAAAACACTCAGTGGCTCACCCCTGTAATCCCAGCACTTTGGGATGCTGAGGCAGGTGGATCATGAGGTCAGGAGATCGAGACCATCCTGGCCAACACAGTGAAACCTCATCTCTACTAAAAATCCAAAAATTAGCAGAGCATGGTGGTATGCGCCTGTAGTCCCAGCTACTTAGGAGGCTGAGGTGGGAGAATCACTTGAACTGGGAGACAGAGGTTTCAGTGAGCCGAATCACGCCACTGCACCATAGTCTGGGCAACGGAGCAAGACTCCGTCTCAAAAAAACAAACAACAACCAAAAACAAAACACTCAGAAAAAGCTCTAAGAATTCAAGTACTAAGCTTTACTCCTAAAGGCAGACAACCCAAGAAACACTGTTATTTTCTTTCTTCTTTTATTATTTTGTTAAAGATTAGTCAAGTATAGTAGTGAGAAGGGGAGAAAGAGTAGAATAAGTTTTGTTTGGGCCAGGTAGGGACCAGCACTTTGGGAGGCCAAGGCAGGTGGATGGCTGGAGCTCAGGAGTTTGAGACTACTCTGGGCAACATGGTAAAACCCCCTCTCTACTAAAATACAAAAAAATTCACTGGGCATTGTGGTGCATGCCTGTAATCCCAGCTACTCAGGAGTCTGAGGCAGGAGAATCACTTAAACCTGGGCAGCAGAGGTTGCAATGAGCCTAGATCACACCACTGCACTCCAGCCTGGGTGACAAAGCAAGACTCTGTCTTCAAAAAAATTATTTAAAAAAAAGCCTGGTCTGTAACTGACTGTGAACAATCGAGATAACTTATTACCTTCAGACAAACTGCTGTTGTTTTTAAATTCTTGATAATTTTATTCTCCAAATACTTGATATAAGAATTATAACATTATTGGCCAGGTGCAGTGGCTCACGCCTGTTATCCCAGCACTTTGGGAGGCTAAAGTGGGCAGATAGCTTAAGGCCAGGAGTTCGAGACCAGCCTGGGCAACATGGCAAAATCCTGACTCTACAAATAATAAAATTATCCAGGCATGGTAGTACACACTTGTAGTTGTAGTTACTCAGGAGACTGAGTCAGGAGGATCTCATGAGCCTGAGGAGGTAGAGACTACAGTGAGTCGTGAATGCACCACTGCACTCCAGCCTGTGAGACAGAGTGAGACATCATCTCAAAAAAAAAAAAAAAAATTATAGCACTATTGATGTACACTTCATGACTTTTTTTTTCTCCTGCTTTATTGAGGTATAATTGAAAATAATTGTATGTATTTACAATGTACAATGTGATATTTTAATATATGTATACATTGTAAAATGATTACAGTCAAGCTATTAGTATACCCATCCCCTCATGTAATTATCTTTTTATGTGATGAGAACATTTAAGATCTACTGTCTTAGCAATTTTCAAGCATAGAATTCATTATTAACCATAGTTACATGCTGTACAATAGATCTATAGAATTTATTCATCCTGTCTTAGAGAAATTACACCTTTTGACCTGTATCTCCCGCTTCCTACCCACCCCAAGCCCCTGGCAACCACGATTCTACTTTCTGCTTCTATAAGTCTGACTTTTTCAGATTCCACATGTAAATGGGAATAAATGATATTCATCTTTCTGTGCCTGGCTTACTTCACTTAGCATAATGTCCAAGAGGGACTGTTAAAACTGCTGAAAAAAAATTTCTTAATTCTAGCTCATTTAGATTTACTTAATAAATGTCACTCAAGCAGGCTGGGCACACGCCTATAATCCCAGCACTTTGGGAGGCCAAGACAGGTGGATTGCCTTAGGTCAGGAGTTTGAGACCAGCCTGGCCAACATGGTGAACACTGTGTCTGCTAAAAATACAAAAAATTAGCCAGATGTGGTGGTGGGCGCTTATAATCCAAGCTACTTGGGAGGCTGAGGAAGGAGAATTGCTTGAACCCAGGAGGCAGAGGTTGCAGTGAGCCAAGATTGTACCACTGCACTCCAGCCTGGGCAACAAGAGCAAAACTCAGTCTAAATAAATAAATTAATAACACTCTGTTTATTAAAATGTTCACAAAATACACTATTAAGAAGCCTGGGTCAGGTGTGGTGGCTCACACATGCAATTCCAGCATTTTGGGAGGCCAAGGCAGGCTGATCGCCTGAGGCCAGAAGTTTGATACCAGCCTGGCCAACATTGTTAAACCCTATCTCTACAAAAAATACAAAAATTAGCCGGGCATGGTGGCATGCACCTGTAATAACAGCTAAATGGGAGGCTGAGGCAGAAGAATCACTTGAACCTGGGAGGTGTGGGTTGCAGCGAGTCAAGATCATGCCACTGCACTCCAGCCTGGGCAACAGACTGAGACACTGTCTCCAAAAAAAAAGAAGGCTGAATTAGCCAGGTGCGACATGACTCTAATCCTAGCACTGTGGGAGGCCGAGGCAGGAGTATTGCTTGAGCCCGGGAGTTCGAGACCAGCCTGGGCAACATGGTGAACCCTGTCTCTACAAAAAAAAATTAAAAATTAAAAAAAAGACCCTGAAATAAAAACAAGTCCTGCAAATAGATACATATTTTCAATAAGGCATTTAATTAAATACTAAAATTAAAAAAGGCTACCTAATTTGTTCTATATTTGGTCTCAAAGAAAACAATGAAAGGAACTGCTGACAAAACTGAAGAGTCCCTAAGAAAGTCTAAGTAAAATCGGCAGGAATATGTTCCATCTCCAGCTGCTGGACTCCTCTCTTGATTTTTAAAAGTATTACAGAACTCTTAAACTCACTTCTCTTTGATATTCCCCTATTTATACTAAAAATATTTTTCTCTCTGTCTCAAAATGTTGAAGTCATCTTCACTTCTCTACTTGCTTACCTACTCAATTGAGTCATAAGGTTTGGTCAATTATTTCATCACAATCGCGTGAAGAGTGTCATAGAATTATAGAGCTGGGGGAAACTCAGAGGTCCTTCCATCCTAATTTCCTAATTTTATAAATGAAGAAATTACAGTCCACAGAAGTCACAGGATATCCTAATTTCCTAATTTTACAGATGAAGAAATTGCAGTCCTGAGAGATAACAGAATTTACTTGATCATTATCATAGAACTAGTTAGTGGTAGAGTCAGGGCCCAATTCCCAGAGGTCTTCCCATGACACCAGAGCTTTTGCTCTCAGATTAGCACTTTTCCCTCTTCACTTCTCTCTCAACTGTAAAATTTCATCACCTATACTAACTATTCCATTCTTCCAGTTTCTACAAGCTTCCTACACATAAGTCACCATTAAAAAATATAAAATTATTCCTTATAAAGAACTGAATTGGCTAATTTCCTGTATAGCTTTCTACACACAAGGTTCTCCTCACTGACTCCACATACCATGCCATGCACACAAGTGACTCCATGCTTTTTCCTCACTGTGCTCTCTCACCCTTCTTCCACCCAACTTACTACATCCTTCTCCTCCTTTAAGGTGCAATGCAAGTGTTACCTTCTTCAGGAAGCCTGCTCTTATACCTCCTCTTGATCTCTCCCTTCATTAACTTTTTTTTTTCATTTACTATCAGTGGAGGCTTGCTACTCAATCATCCCAGGGTTTAAATATCTGTATAGAACAATTTAATAATATATTGAATGTAATTAATCATTCATTCCTCCATATACATACATAGTATCTCCCCAATTAAGCTGTAAGCAACCTGGGGTAGGGAATGGTAGAGGGACTTCTTTCATATCAAACAGCGACTAACAAAGGGTTAGGTATGTAGTAAGTGCTCAATATATATCTTTAACCAATTGAGGGGTAGACTATGAAAATATAATTCAGGAATTCCTTTTCTTTAAGGTTTCTGCCTCAAGTCTGAAAGTGACTTATCTTTGCCTAACAAGAGAAATAATATAAGGCTAGACATAAATTTCTTTATAGGCTTTTAAATTTTATTTTTTCCAATTATTAAATTAATAAATGCTCAATGTGGCAAATGTAAAGAGCTATGAAATATAAACATCGAAAAAATGCATATAACCCTCCCATTAAGAAGCAATTATTTCATTCGTCTTCTCTTTTAGACAATTTTTCTTTATTCTTAAAACCACTGCCTATCCCAGTACTATGCTGCAACTATTCCCACCAAGGCCACTAATAATCCTTCTTGCTCAACTTAGAGTACAGTTTTCAGTTCTTACCTTCCATTACCTCAGAGCAGCATATCACACTTGAAACTTAATCCCCCTTGGCTTTGTTAACACCATACCCACTACATCTCTACATCTCTGGGCAAACTTTCTGAGCACCATTTGGAAGCTAGCTTGCATTCTCCACATACTCCTTAAATGTTTGGTTTTCTCAGAGTTTATCCAGCCCTAGCCATCTTTCTTTTCACTGCCATAATCTCACTGAATCACTTCAACTATTCGCAAAGCTTATATTTAGACTGCCATTTACATAATGATGACTTCTGCATCTTAATTTCTAGTTTGGATCCCTTTTGTGAATTTGACTTTTTGATTTTTTTTTTTTGTGACAGGATCTCACTGTCACCCAGGCTGGAGTGCAGTAGCACAACTCTGGCTCACTGCAGCCTCAACCTCCTGGGCTCAAGCAATCCTCCTGCTTCACCCTCCCAAGTATTGAGGAATACAAACACATGCTACCCGGCCTGGCTAATTTATTGTTTGTAGAGATGGGGTCTTGCTATGGTTGGCCAGGCTAATCTCAAACTCCTAGGTTCAAGTCAT